TGTGTGTGTGTGTGTGTGTGTGTGTGTGTGTGTGTGTGTGTGTGTGTGTAGCGAGGTAAGAAGTTGACTCCTGTGGATGATGGCAGAGAGTAGACTGTGGTTTAGGTGAGGGGCAGCCATCCAGGTGAGGGGAAGTGTTGTATAATGAAAAAATAAATATATGTTCTTTGTCCCTGATTTTTGGCACAGAGGCCCAAAAATCCTGGGAATTTACTGTCTTTTGTCTGCTGTTCAGATCATTCTTGGGAGAAGCCTAGACGGCTTCTAGGGGGTGGGAATTGTTGCCAGAAAAACCGAACATGAGGTTAGAGGGTTCCAGCTTTCAGCCCCACCCTCTGACCTTCAGGGAGGGGAGAGGGACTAGAGATTGAGTTCAATCACCAATGGCCAATGATTTAATCAACTGTGGCTATGTAATGAACCTTTCATAAAACCCACGAACAACAGGGTTCTGGGAGCTTCTGGGTTGGTGACCACAGCCAAAAGCTGGAGGAGAAGGGCGTGAAAGCCCTATTTGCCTCTCACATAACTTGCCCCATGCATGTCTACCATGTGGCTGTTCTTGGGTGGTATCTTTTATAACAAACTGGTCGTTATAGTAAGTAGAGTGATTTGCTGAGTTCTGTGAGTTGCTCTAGCAAATATCAAACCTAAGGGAGGTGGGTAGTGGAAACCCCTGAATTTGTAGTTGCTTGGGCAGAAGTGTGAATAGCTTGGGTAACCTACTTTTGCTGGTATCGGAAATGGAGGCAGTCTTGTGGGACTTAGCCCTTGATCTGTGGGGTCTGTGCTAACTCTGGGTAGTTAATGTCAGAATTGAATTGAACGGTTGCACACTCAGTTGGTGTTGGAGGATTGGTGCAGAAAAAACACAACATTTGGTGTCAGAGAAAAAAACCCACACAGGCAGATATCTAGAATAACTTATGCTCCAGCTGTTGAATTAGTCCAGGCCCGTAGGTGTAACAGTCAACCTGCCTGCACCTCTGTGTAGAACAGGCATGCTGGACCTGAACAGGAGTGTGACTCAGGAGACCGGGGAGTCTCATCCTATCTGCTGGAGGAGCCACAGCCCTGCGAGGACGTGCGTCTGAGATCTCCTGGGGAAGGGGTGTGGGCTGGCTTGGATAACTACACAGTGCCCCAGTAACCCTGCCAAGTGCTTTACATTTATTAGCTCGTTGAGTCCTCATCAATCCTAAGAGAAAGGATTATTATTCTCATTTTATAATTGAGGAAGCTGAGACTCAGAGAGGTTAAATAACTTGCTTAATATTACACAACTAGTAAGTGGCAGGGCCAAGGATTTCTTAGGTCCACCTGACTCCAGTTGCTTAGGGTTTGGGGGCAACTGCTTTACTCCCTAAGAAGGATTTCCCTGGACAGGGCAGCTTCTGTGGTGTGAGCACGCGTGTGTGTCTATTGGCTGCTGGTAGTTGGGTGTAAATGGGAAAATGCTTTCAATGGTATTATACGCACAGGGAGATCTAATGCATTTTAGATTTAGATTTAGATCTAATGCACATGAGACTTTTCCAGTTGCAGAGTCTCTGCTTCTGGTGGACAATAATGGGGAGGCAATACTATTTCCCTGTTTTGTAAACAGCTTTCCCAAATGGGACCCATTGGGATTGCTGGGAACACTTGTCTGTACCAGTCCTGTGTTATTTAATGGACTCATCTATTTGCACCTTTCCTCCTCCCTTCTGGATGGGGCCTCTGAGTGACTTGCCTCTTCCTTTTGCAATCTACCTGGAAGGATTTTTGGACCATGCACCCCTGTTTCCCCACTAGAATTGACACAGATTCCTGGGAGAGGTGGCTGGAAACAGCCAGCTTGTCAGGGCAACATGCAGTGACCCCTCTGCCTAGACTTTGGGGCACTGAGGAGAGCTGAGGGGTCTGGGGCACAGACCGGGAGAGGCCCACTCCCTGCCCAAGCCTTAACCTCTGGGATCAGAGAGCTCAGCATCCCAGGCCTTGTGGGCTTTCATTCCCTTTGGCATAGGGACGATTCAGGGTGGGGTGGGGTGGTGCTTGTGGTCACTGCTGCGTCCTGGCAGCCAGGCTTGCTGATGCCATTTTCTCACACTGAGACATTTTTTCTACTGCACTGTGTTGAACGAGCTTGTAGATGGGGGTGCTGCTCAGGAGAGTTCTTACATTGCTCCCAGGTGCTGGGGGGAGGGAGGGGCTCGGTGCTTGGGAAATGTGACCCTCTCCCAAAGACAACGTGAGCTGACAGGGCGAGAAGTGCATCTGATGTGAGGGTTATTCACCATGTAGAAAAGTCTTACCTGATGATAGCTTGTTGCAGCAAAGCCGACTGAAAACATCATGGGGATGATTGCCATGCCTTTCTTCTTCCAGTAATTCTTCTTGTTAAACTCTTCCACTTGCATTCTCCTGCTGTGAAAGGAAGACTTGTCCAGACACTCATTCCAACATCTGATCAGGGTCTCAGGGCTGAACGTTTGTTTGTAGATGGTTTTATCAACTGTTTTGTACATGTTTTTCTCCCTAATCTGAAATGGGTGAGAAATTGAGTTGATAGTTTATGGTAAGACAGAAACTGACTGCAAAAGAGAGACTTGAAAAGCTTCCCCATTAAAACACAAACTTTGGTGGAGAGAAGACAAGGTGCTGCTTCTTTCTTTGAACAGCATGTGGCTTTTGTAAAAATAATGGGAATTAGGGGTGCCTGGGTGGCTCAGTAGGTTAAGCATCTGCCTTCAGCTCGGGTCATGATCCCAGAGTCCTGGGATCAAGTCCCATGGCAGCTCCCTGCTCAACGGGGAGCCTGCTTCTCCCTCTGCCTCCGTCCCTCCCCTGCCCTTGCCCGATTGTGCTCTCTCTCTCTCAAATAAATAGATAAAATCTTAAAAAAAGATAACGGAAGTTATTTCTCATCTCTTCTTCAGTGTACCAATCAGGGTTTCTCCCTCCTCAAGTGGAGGGTAGCAGTAGTAACTGGTCCCTGGAGAGCAGCAGGATGGAGAGGCTGAGGGAAGCAGATACTCCTTCTTTCCTACAAGGTTCAGAGGATGAGGAAGAGCTGGTAGATTATATATAAAAGCAAGGGTTTATTGTCATAACTGAAGATTTGTTCTGCTACAGAGGAATAGCATAGCAGCTAGTAACAAATAGCAGATCTACTCTAAGCCTTCTGATTGCCTCTGGAATGTGTGGTCAAATCTTTTTAAAAATGTATTTGAATATGGGGTGTTGTATGTCCTGGAAGCCTGCAAGATTTGATAAAGAAGGAGAGCTCACTGAGATAAGCTCAGGAAGTCTTCATTCTCCCCATTTCGTTCTAGTAACATTAAATAATTATCATTATCAGCAGTAACATTGGAATAATACCATCCAGTTTATGGAAACAAATGTTTTAACAAGTGCTAACTCATTTGATTCTTGCAGGAACTCTGTGTGGTGAGTCATATCATCCTTGTTTCATAGATAAGGAAACTGAACCACAAAGAGGTTGCCTCTCCTTGCTGGAGCCGCTCCATTTGCCTGGATTACCTTCCTATTATCTGTGCCTATTATTCTTCAAGGCCTATCTTAAGTGTCATCTTCTTCAGAAAGTTCTTGCTGACTCTCCTCCCCGCAAGCCAAAGTGATGTCTTTCTCCCTTGTACTCATAGAACATTTTATGTGACTTCTCTAGGATAACTATGGTCTTCCTGGTACCATGTGTAGATGTTCGTTCTCCTGTGTGTAAGAAGTACCCTGACAATCACAAACCTGCTGGTCCTCTCTGTTGAACTTGGGGGCCAAGGGGTTCAAAGAGCAATATATTAAGTGTGGCTTCTGGAGCAGAGAAACTATGCTGGGGAAACAGGGAAAAGAAGTGTAAAAAGTAGGCTAGGGCCTAATTGAAATGTGTGAAGGCTAGAAAGCTGTTATTAATAATTATCTCAGTTGCCAGTGGCCTGCCTCTCTCTGGCCTAGCATCCTGTCTGTACTGTGCACCTTCCAGGATACTGTACAAAATAATATTTTTGGAGGGCATCTTTGGGCAGTATATCTCTCAAAAATTTTCAAGTGTACTGGCAATTCCACTTCTATAAATTTATCCTTCAGATATATACAATAGGGCAAAAATACATGTATATTTTGGTATATCTGTACCAAGATGTTTCTTGCAACATCATTTTAGTAGCCCAAAATGGGTAACAACATAAATGTGTATCTTAGTGGAGTGGCTAAATAAATTATGGTAAGTCCCTATTACATAATGCTATTCAGTTATGAAAAAGAATGAAGTGGATCATTCTATTGACACAGGAAGATAACCGTGGCCTACTATCAAGCAGAAAAAGTATGATATACTTATCATGGTCCCATTTTGGTAACTAATTCTCTATGTACACACACACACACACACACACACACATAATACATCAATGTTTACATATGTGTGTATGAATCTAGAGGCCTGGAGCAATAAGCATAGAATTCTTAACAATGGTTACCCTTGATCAGTAGGGTTGATGGGATGAGAAAGGGGACGTTCACTTTTTATTTTAATTCCCTCAATGTAGTTAGAATTTTAAAAAGAGCAATTATTTTTGTACAAATTAGAAAAAAGAAAGAAAGAAACAGAAAGTTGTTTGCATAAGGATGTAGGAAGCTAGCAGAAAGTCATTTCTTTCAGGTAGTACTTAATTTACCTCGAATTCTGAGCTGGGGCTAATTTGAGTGGTTCTTCTAGGGTCTTTCCTTGGGTAGCTAGTTCCCTACCTCATCTGATTCTTCACCAGCCTTGGTTACGACCTTGATTACAACCTTACCTTTTCTGGCAGAAGGCCACATTTGGCTGCCACAGCTGTGATGCAAGATTCTGTTATCAGAATCTTGTGGGAAGCCAAATCCACGAAAGGCTGTATTAGATGGTAGATTTGTCATGCATGCACGGCCCTGGAACCTGAGGTTGCGGATTTTATATGCATTTTCCAGCTTTAATATGAGAAATTCTGTTACCTAAAGTGAAAGGAGATATTAATATATATTGGACAATACTTTGTTTTTTTTTCTGTAAAAGTCAAGTACAGAGTCTAACTGCTTGTGGAACTTGGGTAAGTACTTGAAGAAACATGCTCCATAAAGACTCATCTAGAAATTCTGCATTCTATTCAGGATTAAAGATGGTGCTGGTTTCTGATGCACATACCAGCTCAGAGTCATCCAGCATGCATCCTCCATTAATGAAGCACTCAATATCCAGAGCTTTGATTCGCCCATTGTTCATGAATCCCACCTGTCACCTGTCACCAAATGAAGGACATGTTATGATCTGTTTAAGATTTACAAGCCAAGCTGAAGTCACAACCCAGCTCTAGGATTGGGCACGACTGAAGGCCGACTCTGCTCCCATTTGCTTGGTGGTGTGCCCTTCCTGGCCATCCCCTTTTTTTTGTTGCCTGGCTGACAAAGACCTTCTGACCTGAATTTTGTTGAGCCCTATTCTTTTGAGGCGTCATTTTCTGGCTTCACAATCAGTATGGAATTCCAAAGTCCTTGCTTGCCTCCTGGTGTATAATTGCTACCCTCTTCTTTATTCCTGGAAGAATCTCCTTCACTTTTTTTTTTTTAAGATTTTATTTATTTATTTGAAAGAGAGAGAGAGAGAGAGAGCTTGAGCACCAGTGGGGGGAGGGGCAGAGGGAGAGGGATAAGCAGACTCCCTGCTGAGCACGGAGCCCCATGGGAGGGCTCATTACGGGGGATCCATCCCAGGACCCTGAGATCATGACCTGAGCTGAAGTTAGATGCTTAACCGACTGAGCCACGCAGGTGCCCCAAGTCTCCTTCACTTTTTGCTAGTTTTCCTTCTAATTTAGTCTGTAGTTTCTCCCCCTTGTGGAAAAGTCTCTGGAATTCCAGACTGCATCTCGTTATGGGAAAGCCTTGGAAGCTGAGGCTGGGGAAGGGACATGAGAATGGCTGCTCTCATTTTAGGGGGCTGATGAAGTGCTTTGTGATTAAGGATGTAACAAATGTGAGCTAGTGCTACTGTTCTTATTGGGACTCAAATAAGCACCTTGCATTTTCCTGAAGTTGCCACTCCCCTCCCACCCACCTAGACCTGTTGGTCTGCACAGGCCAGATTGAAAATTTCCCACTTCCTGGTGTAATTCCACCAGAAAAGGATTGGCCCTGGTACCTTTGCCTTTTTGAGGTGCAACTATATGGCTATTATCATCTATGGAGATGTTGGATAACAAAGCAGAGCACTTAGCACGTGTAGAAAAATCCACAAATTCAGAATTTATGGTAATTTTGACAAATGTTAGTCTGAAGTTTACCTGTGACTTTCCATGAAGAAAGGACTGCTAAGCAAAACAGTATAATAAATAAGGTAGTAGAGAGAATTCTTAAACTGTTTATAAACTTTTCAAGAATTTCGGAAGAACCTATTTACACATAAACACCTATTATGCTAATTTACAAATAGCTCTGAATAACCCAGCAAAACTTGGTTAGCTAGGTTTGAATGAGGATCTCACCCTCTCTCTCTCTATATATATATACTCACACACATCTCTCTCACACCCACATCTTACTATATTGGAAGTAAAATTATATTTCTTTAAAAGTAAAATAAAATCTGGATTTTCTACAGTCTATTTCCCTCATTTTAATTATATTTTACATTACTATAATTACTAAAATATTTACAGTCTAGAACTTTCTTAATAAGGACTAGTACTAAAACAGCCTCATAATGCAATATAAATAAAGTCTGATTTATAACTCAGGCCAAAACCAAAGAACTCAACAACCACCATAACAAAACACACTGCCGTAATCCCAGAATGTGCCTCTACATTATTCTTGGTGCTAGAAGATAATAGTAGTTGTATTAATCTCTGTGCATTTGAAGGCAAATACAAAATTTAATGGCCGAGTGTGGTCCTTTTCTCCCAAATTATAAAAATTACTAATGTCAATGGAAGAAATACAATGGTGCTGTGGTATGGCTTTAGTAATCCAGGAAATATAACACTTTAGTAATCTAAGGCGATGATATCAGGTAGAATATCTAGCTATGTGTATGCTATAAGCAATTCCCAGATAAAACATCTTTGATATAGAAACATTACATTAGAACTATCCTAAAAACTCAGTCACAAATTTGAAAGGTACTATGGTTGTCAACTAGATGTTAACAGTATTTTTAATGGTGTTTATGCCATAGTTGTATAAAATGCAATGAGTGTGGTTTGAAAAAATATAAAATTATTTCATTAGTTAGTGGATTCTTTTTTTCCTATTTGCAAAGAACTTTTGTGACACTTTCATAACAACTTAGTGGAAACACTTGTAAAAATGATTTTGTAGTTACAATGGTAAAATTGTTTCCAAACATTTCAACTGCAAAATACTTTCTTTTTTTTTTTTTAAGATTTTATTTATTTATTTGAGAGAGTGAGAGAGAGAGAGAAAGAGAGAGAGAGAGTGTGCACGCGAACATGAGCAAGTCCGGGGCTGGGAGGGTGGGGAGGCGTTTAGAGGGAGGGGCAGGCAGAGGGAGAAGCAGACTCCCAGCTGAGCCAGGGAGCCCAATGCGGGGCTGGTCCCGGGACTCCAGGATCATGACCTGAGCTGAAGGCAGATGTTTAACCGACTGAGCCACCCTTTTGTGTAGGTGCCGCTACACAAAATATTTTTATAGTCAGGAAGTTTTGGTATAACAAGTTCTTGTAGCTTCTTTCATTTTTTTTGTCTTTGAGGAACCGCCAATGAAAATCTTATTCTTCAATAAATTTTATCATTTGAAATTGTGTTATCATTCAATTTCTTCATAATCTATACTAGATTTACTAAAAGTTCCTCATAAAATTTATGAGTATTCAGGTACACGGCATTTTCATTTAATATTTTAGGTAAGATTATTGTTTTTAGAATGTAGCAAAATCAAAATAATAAAAAATTATAAAACCACTCAGATAAAATGAGGTATTTTAATAATTTCATCTTTAATACTCACTTTATGTTTTCCAAATAATGGGTGCTTCCCCCTGTTGTTAGCATATCATCTTCACGACCAAGAACAAGACGAATGGGCTGACCAGTTCTAAAGAAAACAAATCTTAGATTCTCCACCCTTTCCACCCACCCATCCATCCATTCCCCTATTCCTCCATCTACCCATCTAGCATCCGCCCACCCATTTATTCATCCCTCATTTAACTATCTACCCTCCCATCCATCTATCTACCTTTCTACCCATCCATCCTACATCCATTAGCCCACCCATTTATCCAGCCATTCATTTAACCATCCATTCCCTGAGTGCATACAGTGAGCTGGGCACTGATCCGAATTAACATGTGACCAAATTACTACTGTTGCTGTAGCCTATAACTCAATGGTTGGAGATCTAGCTAAAGCGATTAATGTCACATGCCAGTTAACTTGTGTTCTTTTTTTTTTTTTAAGATTTTATTTATTTATTTGTCAGAGAGAGAGAAACAGCACAAGCAGCGGGGGTAGCAGGCAGAGGGAGAAGCAGGCTCCCCGCTGAGCAGGGACCCCGATGTGGAACTTGATCCCAGGACCCTGGGATCATGACCTGAGCTGAAGGCAGACACTTAACCGACTGAGCCACCCACGCGTCCCTAACTTGAGTTCTTATGGCTTCAGAGTTGCTGTTAACCCAGATCCAGCCATTTTGCATATCCCCACCACTAGTTACAAAAGAGAAAGAGAGCAAATAGATAAATGCAAACTTAACAACACAACTGCAAAAACAAGGCCAAGTACTTGTCCTTAGCCTGCTGGGTTAGCATCTTCATTTCTACCCATGAATGCTACTCTGTTGGAAGAACTGGAGATGGGATTCAGATCTTGTGATTTTCCACCTCTCATTGCAGAACAAGACACACATCTGTGTGCTTTGGGAGCTAGCTCTGAACTACACAGAATTTGTCAAAGGAAGCAGGACCTTTGAACATTGTGGGCTGACTGGGGGGCTGACAGTACTTTGTTACTACCAAGAAACAGTCGTAGAAAATGAACAAGGATCTGAAAAGCCAGCAACTGGAATAGCATAAACAGCAAAAGAGCAAACTTTCTGGTTGAGGTTAGCCCAGGAACTTTCTTTGAGGATGTCATTTATCATTAAACCAACATTGAATAGCCAGCCCTTCCCAGGTGCAGAGAGGCAGAGGGTGGGAGCCTTTCTTTCCTCACTCCACCCTGTCTGCAGCTAGAGTAGGAAGGAAAAGTGGGGGAGGACCCACCCTCTTGGTGTTCCACTTGGGTAGGATACTTGTCCCACCCCTAAATGGGTCACCTTCCTTGAAACTCAAGGACAGGGCAGCCTCAGCCTTGGAACTATTTAACTAATAATATCACTTTTCCTTTTTATAGCAAATTAGCCTATTTGAAGTCCTGTGTACATTTGACTTTTCAAATAACTCTAGGAGGGTGGGTACTCTATCTATAATTATAAAGAAAAAGAGACAGGAGCCTGAATTGCCCAAGGACACTCAGGTGGTTGTGACAGCAATCCAAGTGACCCTCAGTGACTCACTGATTTACCCTTAGCTCTGTACATTTTATACCCTCCTATATCCCCAAGTGCACTTACCTGATAGTGCGCGCCCACAGCTGCAATAGCTCCAAATACGGCTGGTCTTCCTATGTTCCCGCCAAAACCTCCACCCACCCTTTTGACGTGACAGGTGATCCTATTGATGGGGATGTTTAAAGTAGAGGACACTGTTTTCTGTAAAAGTTAGATAATGGAAGTTTTCCAAGAAATGGCAAAGAAGGCTTTTGTTTTCTGAAACAACATCATAGCAATATTCATCCATACCTACTATCAGAAAAACAACAACAAAAAAAACTAAGATAGTCTAAATCTGTCTTGCAGAGCTCTATTGAGTTCATAAACATTGTTAATCTTATAGAACAGCCTTTCCAGCAGAAAAATGGTATCTTCCAGAAGGGAAACTGTCTGAGTCCTAGATTCCTGTCAGAAGCTGGAATCATAGCCAAATGCCTAGACCTGAAGTCCCAACAAGGTGAAAAATCAGCAAACTCAGGACAACTTGCTAAAGAAGATGTTTGCAGCTAAACCCTAGGGCACTTTGCAACTGGGAAATGAAAATGTGCCACAAAGTGATGTGTTCACTCCGAAGGTTATCTGTAATGATTATTTTAGAGGAAAAACCACGTACAGATATTATTTAGTGTTGTTATTCAATCATAGAGCTCATTTAAGCATGCTGCAAATGAATGCACTCTTTTTTTTTTTTAAGATTTTATTCCTTTATTTGAGAGAGAGAGAATGAGAGAAAAAGTACGAGAGGGGGGAGGGTCAGAGGGAGAAGCAGACTCCCCGCTGAGCGGGGAGCCCCATGCAGGACTCGATCCAGGGACTCCAGGATCATGACCTGAGCCGAAGGCAGTCGCTTAACCAACTGAGCCACCCAGGCGCCCATGAATGCACTCTTTAAATCTCAAGTGACTGTGGCTGTTCTTTTTTTAAAATTTGACTTAATTTAATTTATTTAATTTTAATTCCAGTATAGTTAGCATGCATATTATATTAGTTTCAGGTGTAAAATATGGTGAGTCAATAATTCTCTACATTATTCAGTGCTCATCATGATAAATGTACTCTTAATCCCCTTCACCTTGACTGTTCTTTTATTTACTTGACAAGACCAGACAAAATAAAAGGGTTCTGGTATCTTAGCTGCTCCACTGGGGTCTAGTACCTGGACATCAAGTTTCTACAGGTAAAATGGTTGCCAACTGTGAGGCTGTGGGGATCAAAGGCCATGACGGAATTAGGAATTTGGGAAGGTAAAGGCGATCCTGGGCCTTACCTGCACATGGGCTGGATCCTGTGTTGACACATAAATGTCCAGTTCTTCGTCCTCTGCCTTCGGAATAACAAGCACTCTTTGTGTTTCCATGTAAAAATGTTACTGTCCTCCAACATGGACCTCTCCTGTTAAGTGCAAGATAGGGAAATTCTTGTTAAGTGCAAGAAAGGGAAATACTTGAAAGTCTGTGCTAGTTGGAAACTACTATGTTGAGGAATTCAGAAGCAAGTAAGATGTGGACTGACCAGTCTGGATTTGTTCAGACCAAGGAACTGATGGATCAGGCATTTGTCCTGTGGCAACTGAGGGCAATCTGTTTCTGAGACTACAGTTTTAGATAACAAGTTCAAAGTGTCTGGTTCTATTCCTCTGTCCTTTACTAATCAAAGTCCTAGGGATTTTTCTTCTATATATTCTGTTGCTCCCAACACCCCACCTCTAAAGGCAACACACACACACACACACTCTCTATCTCTCTCTCTCACACGCACACACACACAATCTGAGAGGAAGAGCTATAAGAGAAATTTGGCAAAGTTCTGAGTCTTTAGAGGATACCCTTTCTGAGAGGAAGTCACATGTTCTCAATATCCGCTTTGGAATAGAAATCGTGCAAAGATTCTATTAAATGTCCTGAGCCACTTACCTTCAATAATTTGATCAACTTTTTCAAATGCCTCCTCAACGTTTCCTTGTTCAAGTCTTTTTTCAGGGCATAGGAATGAGTTGTGCCTTATGGCATCCTAAATGATAGGAAAAAAACACACAAGCCAATTAAAATTTTTTTTTTCTTCCAATGGCATTTTTTTTTTCTTAATCAAAGGCCAGGAAACTCCCTAAAATAGCCACGAAAGGAACCATCAAGCAAGGAAGTACTAGAGTAGTGGGCTCGTGGTAGAGATGAGATGGATGTCAGAAGGATGTCTTCTAGACTGCAGGGAAAACCAACAAGAAGGATTAGGGAAATGTGAAGAATTGAGATCTTGGGATGCTGTGATGGTCCAGGATGATAAACACTCATTTCTCATCTTCAGTGTGGATGTCCAGGGAACAGGTGATAGGTCTAACCGCAGTACGGGTGAGGTTCTAGGCCCTCCCTCTTTATCCTCTCCTTGAAGAAAAATACTTGTGTAAGACTTAGGTAGCTCACGTACAAGAACCTCTAACTGAGGGATCTAAAGAACTGAGCCAAGTTGAGGGAGAAGACTCAAGTCCTAACACATCTCTGGGCAAGAAAGCCCAATAGACATTGCAGGAAGTTTGTTCATTTCTTTGGGTATTTGGCATATCTCATAAGGGCCTTTCTAGCCCTTTCTTCTATGTTTTCTTTCTGACAATAGTGTGAACTGACTACATGTGAAGACTGGAAGCCATCCCACTCTGAGGCTTTGTGGATTCACCTATTAACAGCTGATCCTTGCTGAGCCTCTTGGCCCAACGTGATTTTCCATACTTCAGAATGGCACCTGTTTCCTGCATTCTTTCTCTCCAATAGCCTTAGAGTTCATCATCTATCTTGCTCATTATGATAATGATAATGAGAGCAGCCAATATTTACTGAGTGCTCGCTTTGTTCAAGCACTGCACAATACACAGCATATGTACATGCATTCTCACATTAATTCCATTATCATCTCTGTTTTCCAGATGCAGAGACTGGGCTTAGAAAGGTTAAATGCCTTTCTTAAAGTCATGCTGCAAATAAGAGATGGAGGCAGCGTTCAAGCCCCAGCTTAGCTTTCAGAAGCCTCTTGCCTGGTGAAGAACACTTGATTTCTTAAAGCAGCAGAAAATGTGTACCAGATAGTGGACTTTTTCATTTTCTTCTACACCAAGATCTCACTGAGCCACCCGAGTTCATGTGAAAGTATGTTTATTGCCATACTGGAAATGCATCATGAGATCATATAATCTTGTTGTAATATGTGCTTTATTTAGTGAGGATTGAGTATGTGCCAGGCACTGTGCTAAGTGTTTTCCATGTATTAACTCATTTAGTCCCGTAACAGCTTGAAGAGGTAGGTATTATTATTATCTCCATTTTACAGGTGAAGAAACCATGACACCTTAACTCACTGAAGGTGACAGGGTTAGTCAGGTGCACATCCAGGGTTCAAACCTAGCAGTTTGGTTCTAGAACTTGTGCTGTTAGCCACTACCCTCCACTGCCTCTCACATATACAGCACTGAAATGAAGGAATGGATGGATGGGTGAATAAGTGTTGGTATGTCTGACTATTTTGTTACCTACTTTCGTTCACAAAAGAAATTTTTAGCTGACTCTGGACAGTCCCATTCTGAGAGAACTCTAGATCTCTAACCATTCTGAATCCCAGGATATTTCATGGTTTTTCTTCTGGGTGCCATTTCCTCCTTGAGAAAATGGGATTAGAACTGAGATTTCAAAAACTGATATTAGAACCCTAGTACAACCCAGGGATGGAGAGTGAGCCAAGAAAAAGGGTCTGGACTTCTTGCAAACTTGGCAAAATGGGAATTTGGAACAGAATTGATTTGGTTTAGAAAGATCAAGAAATATGCCCTTTTTAACACTTTGAATATTGATCAAGTTGTACCTTTTAGGCACATTTTAAAAATGTCAAGTGGTTCACTGGGGCCTTTGAAAAAATTCTATTTTCTGTCACAAGTGCACAAATAAGAAAGCTTTTCTCAGCTCGGTTACTCTGAACTTGCCCTTCATTGAGTTAGAACCTGCAAATCCCAGTCTATATCAGAATTTCCTATTCTAACTTCATTCTTTCTGCTTTGGAAATAGCATTTGTATTCCATCAGCCAGACCCAAAAATAAGAGTGGAAATTTCTGTGGAATTCTATCATGAAACTCACTCTGTTTTTTTGGGGCCCCACCTTGAAAACATGATCGTTCTCAATATCCATTCTCATCATCTTACCCAATTTTTAGTGGATATGTAGTCACCTAGCATAAAGTCTACATTACCCAGCTCCCCTTGCATGTAGGTGTGGCATCTGACTAGGTGTTAACCAATGAGATATGGGAAGTGTCCTTAAAGGGAGGGGACATGCCCTTCTTCATCATCTCATTCTCTCTGCTGTCTGGAATGTGGACTTAATGGCCAAAGCTTCAGCAGCCATTGTGGACCAAAGTATGACGTGGAGTATAGAGACCATGCATGATGCAGCAACTAGATAGGAGGAGCCCAGATCCCTGAAACATAAAACCCCACATAAGCCCCGGACTGACTTCTTCTAGATTTTTTTGAATGTGAGAGAGAAAGAAACTTCAATTCTTGGTGTGTTTTTTCCCCCCTCATTTCTTAGAGCCAAAGCTAATTTTAATTCATACAAGTAATACCTTCTAGAGAAAGCTGATTTTTCCAGAATGAATCAGTGACAAGAAAAAGTTAGAATTAGTCTTGCATTAAGAAATTTACAAAGGTGGGGGCGCCTGGGTGGCTCAGTCGGCTAAGTGTCTGCCTTTGGCTCAGGTCCTGATCTCGGGGTCCTGGGATTGAGCCCCGTATCAGGCTCCCTGCTCAGTGGGGAGCCTGCTTCTCCCTTTCCCTCTGCCCCTCCCCCTGCACATGCTCTCTCCTTCCCTCTCTCTCTCAAATGAATAAATAAAATCTTTAAGAAAATAAAAAAATTTACAAAGGTGCTTTTGATTCTACAACCTTACAGGAAAGAAACCTTCCTCCCCTGCTTACGTTGATGGTGAAGATTACTGGCTCCAGATCTTCATAGGTGATCTTTATCTTTTCAGTTGCACCCTTTGCCTGTACATCTGTCTCTGCAACCACAGCACAGATGATGCGGCCCACGCAAAGCACCTGTGGAAAGTACATGCATGAAGCAGGTAGAAAAATATCTGTAGAAATAGGCTTACTCAACAGTGGCTGGTGTCTTATTTATTCTTGTTTAGCAATAATAACCATACTGGAGGTCATATTCAACCACATGTGCTTGGCTAAGAAAATTAATTAAAAAATAATTTAAATAATACAGATGATTCCACTGGCCATTTTATTAAATGAATGTCAGCCCCAGAGTGGATGTGAGATTGGCTGTGACCGGAATCTGTTGTGTCTTCTGTCAAGCCTGGCTCACACGTGTCATCTTCATGGTATGAGTTATCATTGTAGAATTTAAAGAGAAGGAAAAGTGTTTTTTGTACAGTGTGGTTCCTGTTACGAACTACACTACGTCCCCTCCTTCTTCCCAAACTCCTATGTTGAAGCTCTAACCTCCAATGTGATGTTATTTGGAGACAGGGCTTTTAAAGGGGTAATTAAACTTAAGTGAGGTCATCAGGGCGGAGCTCTAACCCAGTAGGACTGATGTTCTTAAAAGAATAGGAAGCTACCAGGGAGGCTCATCCACAGACAGGAGGTCGTGTGGGGACTCACTGAGAGAATGACTACCCGCAAAGCAAGAAGAGAGGCCTCGGGAGGAACCAAACCTGCCAACACCTTGATCTTGGTTGATCAGCCACCAGAACTGTGAGAAAATAAGTTTCAGCTTTGTTAAAGTGACCCAGGCTGTGGTATTTTGTTATGGTCTCCTGAGCAGATAATGGAGCTCTTAAGTAACAGCTGACCTCTTCCTCTGGAGTGCAACCAAAAGAACAGTGATTCGTTTCATGGCTGGAGAAACAGTCTGTGTGACTCATTGAGACTTGACAGTACTAGCTAACACCTACTGAGAGCCTTCGCGTGCAAAGCACTGTTGTAAGCATTTTACATGCATTAGCTCATTTAAATCTCACAGTAACACAACGGTGTTGGTGCTACGATGATTCCCATTTTACAGATAATGATGCCCAAAGGCACACAGCTAGTGAGGGTGGAGCTGGAACATGAACCAAGGCAGCCTGGTTCCAAAAGCAAGTACTCAATGAATGATCGTGGAATTGAATTAAAAGGTCAAGGATGGCAAGAGCAACTTTATAACAAATGGCCTGTGTAAGAGTCAGTAGGGGTGGGGGTGTGTATGTGGGGTTGGTCCAGGAAGGGAGGAACTTAGTATAAATAACAGGGAGTAGCTGTATTTTTCGTACTCTTCTTTTTAGGTTTTTCTAGGGTATTCTATCCTGACACAGTCAGCTCCTACATTTATTCTTCAGACAAGGGTAAATTGACTCAAGAGCACACAGTGGGAAAACTAGGACTTGTTTTTCTGCAATAAATGTCTTTTTTACTATGTAATTTCTAAGTCTGTCTGAATAAAGATGTTAGGTGTAGAGAGAAGCTGGAAGAATTGGCACTTTTATCCCCCAATGGGGGGGGTGGGTAGAGGGGGGCGATTGAAAACCAGCTCGAGGTCGGACCTTGGTGATTATCTATCTGCACAAAGTCGCCTGAGAAGGCATGCTCTGTACCTCATCTACAGCCATCAGCTTGTCATCCTCAGTGCCAGTGGTGCCTGGAATGTCCTCAGCTGTTATCACCTCAACCACCCCAGGTAGTTCAAGGGCCTCAGACCAGTCAATTGATCTGAAAAAAGATAAATATTTAAGAAGTAGAAATCAGCAAACTTTGAGGGCCCCAGACCTAAGGGAAAGATAGAACATTGTTGAAAATAAAAATTACAACAGTCTTGGGTCCTGACCAATAAGAGCTGACCTGCCCCAGGATCCAGGAGGTTCCTTGCTGAGTTAGGGTAACACTTCAGCTACTGGAGGGGAGAGAGGGTCAGGGACCATGTGGCTGTGGCAAGGGACCTTCTTAGGAAGCTTAGGACACTGGGCATTTACCATTCAGAAATGCAGTATTTCAGGGTTTTATCCCCAGTTGAGTATCGCCCTACTCTGAGTTACTCCTGGGAGCCACGCTTGAGGCTCCAGCAGAGAGCTGAGGTATTATGAAGTTAGAATAGAAGCAAGGAGCCCATAACTACTATTTTTGTTCTCTCTTTCTTAATGGTCATTTCCAGATAGCCTCCCTTTCTGCTCCTGGGGATGGTGACCTTTTCTTTATTCTTTCAATTTTAGGTTCTTTGTGTTTAGGACACGGCAGAACAGGCACATTCTTCTGAGGGAAACTGCAGGTGTGATTTTAAAAATTTTTTTGAAAGCTTTCCATTTACTTACATGATTTTTGCATGGGCTCTGGTACTGGTCACCAAAACCATGAAAAGTTCTCTATCCACCATTGGAATGTCATCACAAAATATGGCTTCACCTGTAGTATGATTAAGACCTGATAGGTGCATGATGGGACGTCCAACTGGGTCTTGGAGGGATTGGTGAGAATCCACACTCTGCAGAGGGAGACAAGAATTGCCCTGGAAAACCTGAATCTCCGCAAGCGGCCTGGCCAATTACCAACACTCCTGATTCAGGATTAAGAAATCAGTTGCCCTGAGGCAACAAACACTGGAGTAGGTCAGATGATAAATGTGACAATTTAATGATGTAACTAGACTGGGGAATTGTCCTGTCAGTTATGTGGTAATGCTGACCTTTTGGCAGAATTGTGAAGTAGGTGAAGGGGGACCCTAACTTTTCCTTTTGGCATCTTCTTTTTCCAAGTTGTGCCTCTGTACTGCTTTATTCTGGAATTCAGAGGGCCTCCATATCCTGCTTTCTTACTTTTCTCATGACAAAACTTTTCACAACTAAACTGATCATGATGATGAAGCCTAAAGTGATATAAATCCCGATGGCAGGGCACCAAAATCTAAGCCAAAACCTTTAGTGTCAACTTGAACGGGGCCTGGGGCAGGAGAGAGGAGAGAAGAGCTAATGGAGTGGAGTCCACCCAGATCCAGACCAAGGTGTGTTGGCTGCCCTTGTAAATGGTCCAAAAACATCCCTGGGAGGATAAGGAGATGGAGGTGTTTACTCTGGAATGCTTCTCACGGATGATCTGTGTGTGTGTAGATGGGGTGGGGGGAGGGGCTGGGTGCTAACAGATAATAATAGACACTTTCCTAAATTGTCCTTCAAGACGGGTGGGTTCAGGTACTGGCAGGGCTCTTGCTTTGCTGACTGGAGATCAGACATTTGCAATCAGGGCTGGAGGCTGAACCGTGCTACTGTCTTGCTCAGTCCTTCCCCCACACCTGGCTTAGGTGCTCTTCAAACAAATGCCCAGAGAACATCAGTCGGAGGAGATTATCAATTATTAGTCAGACGGTCAAACCATCCCAGGTTGGTTCAGCCTTGAGTATGCATAGTGGTAGCTCAGGCCTGATTCTAGATACAGTGGCTCCCTGACTTGGCCTGAACAAAGAGCAATGTACCAGCAAAAACTAGAAAGTCAGAACTATAAATCACAACTCTGAAGTGCTTGCTTAGCTCACGTAGCTATCGCTTATCTCTTAAGTCCTAGGTTTCCATTAAATCATACTCACTGACCTGGTACCTTTGGACTCCCTGGGGTCCTGTGACAGGGAAATCTTCTAGAGCACCTAGGAATTGGTCTGAAATTTCGGGATAATGATGGCTGTCCTGAGAGACAATTCAAAACAATAAAGATGAACCGATTAGCCTATGATTAAACTGGGCTTTGATGTGTGTGAAAATGACCTGCCTAAATTATCCAAGAAATTGCAAGCCGGGGGTAACCTGGAGGACCAAAGTCCACATCACCTCCCAGGATCTCCCTTTTTATGAAGGTACCTTGCCCTCCCTTCCTTTCCACACAAGGAGGAACTGGACTGACTGATTTGAATCTGATCCTCCAGTCACCCTGAGGATGGAGAGACCTGTCAGTGAGCTGGGTAAAGGCAGGAGATGAAAGAAAATTGGGGGCTGGATCAGCCATCCCAGAATGAAATGGAATTCACTGTACACAAAAAAGCCCACATCCTGATTGCTTTTCTCAACGATGCAGCAATTCAGCAGTAAAATTGGGAAAGCTCTCTGGGTGTCTGAAACACACCAAGTGTTTTGATTCAGAAATTAAATGGCAGGATGACTGCCTTGGTGAATGTGGTTGGTACCTCTGAGTAAATGAAAATTGGACACCTTGGGTGACGTGAGGAGTGTTGGGGTGGGGTGCGGTTGGAAACGGGGTACACGGTAGAGTGAGAGTTATATTCATAGTCAGGGAAAGAAATAGAGAGTGAGAGAATGTTTTGCTCTGCTTAACTTATTCCAGAAATTTATAATCAGAAAGTCTAGAAAGAAACCACTTAAATATTTGCATACAAATAAATTTTAGTATTTTTTTGAAAAATAAAATTTTATCTTACATTTTATATTGAATATAAAATTCCAGAACAGGCAAACCTAATCTCTAGTGCCATGAAGTGGATCAGAGGTTGCCTGGAGGCAGGGCTGGGAGGATTGACTGCAAAGGGGCCAAAAGGGACTTTTGGGGGTGATGAAAATGCTCTATACCTTGTTTGACGGTGGCTACGTGGGTTTGCACATTTGTTAAAACTCATTGGGTTTAAATAGGTGCATTTTATTATATGTAATTATACTGCAGTAAAACTGAGTTGAAAAGAAAAAGAAATTGCACACTGCAGGCAGGGGCGCTGTGATGCTGTGCTGCTCAGGGCACGCAGTGAACATCTAAGAAATGCAGACAGCCTGGCATCCTGAGCCTCATGTAGCAGCCTTCCAGGGCTGAATTCTCGAAGAAGGGTTGGCTGGGAACTGACAAGACCCACCTCAGAACAGGTGACAGGTAATGGCCCAGGCTGCCCACAAGACAGGTTGCACAAGGAGTGGAAAAGCTGGGAGCTTCTGGCTGCAAGAAGCACAGGAACGCCAGAGCACTTACAGGCATCAGCTTTCCTAGCTTCTTCAGTTCCTGCAGAACTTCCAGGTAGTATTTGAAGAAGAAACTGACCACCAGAGTCCTCTTGAATTCCACGTTCCCCCCTGGAGCCCAGCCTGGGAGGGAGACTTCTTCCAGAAGCAGCCTGCAAGCTTCCTCTAGCATCAGCTCATTCTAGGGCCTGATGGGGTTGGAGGCGGGGAAGGGACGAGTTCAAGGGCAGTTTCAACCGCACAGCGTGTACTAGATATTGGATAGTGACAATTTAGAGAACCTCCGGTCTCCTTTTATGAGTTGGAAGGGAACTTAGAAATCCTCTAACCAAGCCCTTCAGGAAAATCCAGGCACTGAGCAGCCTGAGGGTCATGGCAGGGTGAGGATGGGACCCTTTCATTGCAACATGAACCAAGCATGTTCGAGAGCCAGACCACGCTGGAACCAGGCATTAAACAAAGAGCCCATTAGGGACAATTCCACTGGGAAATGGACAGGCCCTTACTGAGGAAGAAATTGAGTGTTCCCGAGCAGCAGTTGCAGCAATAGGTGCCCTCGGACACCAGCTGGTGTGGGTTTGCTGGAGGGCTGGCATGGGCGTGAGGACAGAGACTGAACGCGGTCCCGGGCCAGTTTCATTGTATCCTGCACCCACAGCGTGGCTCCTTGTTAATCAAAGTCAAGTGAGGTTTGATTCATTAGCAAAATTACAGAGAGAATAAGCAGTGTGTTCTACATATAGGAGTTTCCATCTTCCCAGGGCTTTTAACAACATTGGCCAGAGCCAAATCTCCTTTTTTTTTTCTTTTTTAGAAAAAATAAAATTTTTTCACCTTTGGGGTGCAGGGTTCACTGCCTACCTCCCCACAAGCTGCTGGCAGGATTTCTGTGCGCTGACCGTGGCGGCCCCAACCCCTCCGTAGGAGATGCTCAGGTCCTCAATGGCCTCTGTGCCTTCCTTGAGGAGGACCCGCATGCCAGCACTCACGTCGGCCAAGGCATTGTGCTGGCCCTGAGCCTGTCGGAAGGCTGACACAAATTCCCACTGTGGGGACAAGAACCATTTGGGGTTGTTTGACATGTTGAAACTAAGAGCATGGCTTCTGCTTCTCGGTGCTACTAATTCATCACTTAGACTCAATCTAAGAGGACACAAAAGACATTTGGCACAGCTAGAGGACAAGTTGGTTGCCTTCTCATTCAGAGTGAGCATGGCATCCTCCCGAAGGCCCATCCCCATTGCCCGGCACCCTCAAGGAACAGGGATCACTATGCACTTTTCCTGAGGCTAAGATGCCCGGATCATGTCCAAGTGTTCTGTTTCCAGGGGCTCTTCCCTCTAGTCTCCAGATGCCTCAATTTTCATGAGGCTGGAGGAGCCCTCCCAGTACAGGTAGTTTTTGTTTATTTGTTTGTTTTTTAAAGATTTTATTTATTTATTTGACAGAGAGAGACACAACGAGAGGGAACACAAGCAGGGGCAGTGGGAGAGGGAGAAGCAGGCTTCCCGCCGAGCAGGGAGCCCGATGTGGGGCTTGATCCCAGGACCCTGGGATCATGACCTGAGCCAAAGGCAGACGCTTAACAGACTAAGCCACACAGGCGCCCCAGCATAGGTGCTTTTAAATACAATTTGCTTACAGTGTGAAAGAGACCCACCACATTTCTTGGTTTGTAGAAATGACTACATTTCCACTTTGCAAAGGTCACAAAGGAATCGACTAGAACTTTCTGACAGTGGACTAGGGACTCTTGTATCAGGAACAAGAGTCAGGAGGGTGATGGGCTGCCCCACTGGGCTCTTTGGCACCGTGACTGTGGATGTTTTGACATGGGGTTAATGGTGATGACCTGTGTCTCAAGTGTGTTTCCAACTATACGGCCACTGAGGGCACTGTGCTTGAGTTGGCCTGGTTTTCTGTCTGGGGCCTTTACGCAGATGCACATTTGACTGGAATACATCTCAAAGTTTCCATTGCAAAGGAAAAATAAATGAAGGTTATACATGGCTGAAAACAGGACTTAATATAAGACTTCCTGCATAACCAAGCTAACTCCTGGCTTTTGATCAGTGTGTGTGTGTGTTGAATTGTCTCTCTCTGGGAAGACTGTACTCTTGGACTCAGGTACGGTTTTGGGGAGAGACACGGAACACTGAGTGAGGACAGAGGACCCACGCCACAGCCAGCTGGGTGGTCACATCAACCCCAGATATCCTGTGTTAGCAAACTTCTGGAGGCCCTCGTGTTCCTCTGAGCTGTTGGAGTTAGCTAGAGTGGGAAGTGGGGAGGCCCAGCCCCAGCGTCTGCCTCTTTGTGGGTGAGGCAGAGAAGCTCATTCCATAGCGGGAGAGCTTTAATTTCCGCCTCCCAGAGTCGATCTGTAGACAGAAAGTAGTGTGGAAACACCACCACATGCCCTCAGTGGGCCCCACCCCACAGCTGAAACAACAACCCCAAATCCACACCCCAGAGCTGCTCGCCCGAGGGTGTCTGAGAGCTTTGGTGCTGGGCCAGCCCACAGTGGACAGGAAACAGATTTTCAGGGCAGAGTATTTTCCTTCCATCTGTTTTCAGATTTCTAAAATGACTGCATTCAGTTACGGAAAGGGAAAAACAACTCTCAGAAGCAGCCAGCAGAATTCTTACCTTTTGAGAGTGTGGGATGTACACAGATTCCAAAATTTCCTCTGGCTTAAGGTCTGCACTTGCCAACCCGCCAAGAGAATGTTCGTTTAGAGGAATCTGGCGTGTACCTTCTGTTGAAGAAAATGACATTTCTGCACAGTTGCAACAGGAACTCCGGAGTATTCCGTACTCTTAAATGTCAGCAGCAAAGAGGAAAAGGTCACCTTCCTCTGCCCCAAGTGAGGCAGCCGTCTGCGTGCCTGACAGTCCAGGGCTGCCCCGCTCCTCCGCCCAGGGTGGGTGGCGGACTGCCCTGGGCATTCACGTGCTCTGTGAGCTGGGGCTCCTGCCCCCTCCAAGGCCGGTCAGGCCTATGCCATTTACATCTTTAGGCAGAGGCTGGTTGACTAAACCTAATTCTTTCAGCGCTATGATCAAGGTAAGGGCGTAGCTTCCGCGGAGACAGGGTTTATTTCCACTAGCAGCAGAGCTCAGATCATTGCATTTGCTTTTTGTTCTTGCTGCTGCTGCTGGATACCTACATCCTTAAAATGAAGTGAGCAATTCACAAAACCTCCTTTCAGCCCAAGTGTTACAATTCAGCGGTCAGAGCAGTAGCCCCCCCCCCGCCCCGCCCCGCGCCCCGTTATAAAACGTGGTTTGTGGCTGCACAGCAGTGCCATGAGGAGATCAAACTGCAGCCCAGAGAGTCTGAGGTGGGTTTGTGCCTGACAAAAGCGGCAAGATGCTGATTGGAACATGGCGGGGGGGGGGGCTGGGGGGTCCCGAAGGAGGCGGGAGTGCCCGGAAGGAGCCCCTGCTGACATTTGCTGGCCTATCCTGCTGCTGGGTCAGCGAGCACGTCTACCAGCCTTGCCGGAGCGAGGCTGCGCTCAGGGTGGAGGTGGCTTGGGCAAAGCTGGGCAAACAGAGACCTTAAGCCAGAGGTAATGGCCAGCAGCCCAGGAGGAGAACACCGCTACTGGCACTCCCACCACCGGTGACATAGAAGGCCCTGCGCTGCGTACGGCCAGGCCGTCCTTGTATCCCGGTGCTCCAGGGTCTTGCTTCTTCTTTCCTGGTCTTCGGGGGTCAGGCTGTGGTTGTCTTGGACGGCAGGCGGGGAGGGCTCAGAAAAATGTGTGACATGGCCAGGCCAGGCTGAGGCCCTTCGGCTCCCCCCTCCTGGGTGGGCCCCATGCAAAGCTGAAGAGGGACACGGAGAGCTTTTCCTCCGCACAAAGCCCCTCCCAACACTCCCCACCAGTTAGGGATGGGCTCATATTATGGCCAACAAAGCCCTGGAAAGGGTTACCTCGCCCCAGGGGTCACGTGGGGAGCAGATTGTGATTGCTTCCCTGCACCCTAGCCTCTGGGTCCCGCCGCCCATAGGAGGGGTGAATGATTGGCTGGCCAGTGGGGTGGGCGGAAGGAGCGGGTATCTGATGGGTTGCGGGTGAGGGACGGGCCGGAGCGATCACAGGGAGAAGCAGAACCCCGGGGAGGCAGCCCATTGCAGACAATGGTTCCCATCCCATGTCTGTCTCTACAGGTGGCCTCGGCAGGGCGGTTGGATGGACTAGACAGGCTGTGTGTCCGACGTCCGGCACAGCCGGGGCCATGGTTAGCGCCCAGGAAATGGGCGTGTCGGCATCGGCAGAGCAGCGGAGGCACCAAGGGAGATGAGCGTTTCCGGGGAAACAAGGGTAGTTTTGCATGGAACGGCCCCAAGGAATGATGTTCTCAGCCAGCATGTAAAATGAGTCATTCCCTTCCTCCTGTCCCCAGAGGTCCCCTGGTGTCTGCAGTGTGTCCTCCCTGGCCTGGTGGCTTCACACACAGCAACTGAGAGGGGTGGACATGAAAAGGAGGAGGGAGCAGCCCTCAGGCAGCAGAGAGCTTTGGGCTGGGGCTCTGCACACTACCCCTGGCTGTCACACGGCTGTGGGGGGGAGTGTCCGTGTGGGTGGGGGTGTGTGGTGCCAGCAGGAAGTGCTAGCCACTCCCTCGCATCTGTGTGCCTTCCTCCAAGAGCCCGAGTTCCCTGCGGTGGACTAAGAGCCCCAGGCCAGGGCTTTCACTTACAGCCATTCCCTAAAAAGAAAGACAGAAAGTCTTTTTTTTTTTTTTTAAAGATTTAATTTATTTATTAGAGAGTGAGGGAGAGAGAAACAGCATGAAAGGGGAGAAGGTCAGAGGGAGAAGCAGGCTCCCCGCTGAGCCGGGAGCCCAATGTGGGACTCTATCCCAGGACCCTGGGATCATGGCCTGAGCCGAAGGCAGTCGCTTAATCAACTGAGCCACCCAGGTGCCCAAGACAGAAAGTCTTTGGTGCAGTTCAGAATGTTCTGGGGTAGCTTACCTTCTGATAGCAGATTGAAGGTAGCGTTGCCCACAGCCAAAATTGGATTCAGATCCGAATAGCAGTGCCGGCTTATAATATGTCCCCCTAAGGACTAAGAAGAGATAGTTATAACCTCGGTCATTCTATCCCTCAGATCCTATGCCCCACGGGCACCTGCTTAAGGTCCTCTCGCAGTCACAAGGAGTCTTGTTCTTCTTGGCAGAGGGACTCCATTCTGACCATCTGGGAGGCCCCTCCCGCCCACTACTTTGGATCAGGAGAGGAACTGATGGTAACTATCTCTCACACAGCATTCGGTCTGTTCTACCTCTTCACACACATTCACTCATTTCTCTTGACAACCCAGTGAAATTGGTGCCATTTTTCAGATGAAGACACTGGGCACAGAGGAATTATGAAACTTGAGCCCGGTCTTCCAGCTAGGAAGGGGCAGGACTGGGATTCAAACCCAAGTAGTGGGACTCCATGGCCCACTGTGAACCACCCCCTGCTCAGCCTCGGCCACAGCACAGGTGGCTGTGGTACCGGCTACAGAGCTGCTGTCCCACATCTAACACTGCCTCCAGCATGGCCAGACCCCACGTGGGTGTGCTGGGGCTCTGGGCTCCTACACCACTGAGGGAGAGCTGCCCTTTTCCTCTTCTGGGGTCTGGTTGAACCTATAGCATCTCAGAACTTGGGAGGGAAATGACTGGCCATTCTACATCATACTCTCCTCCCCACATAGTGATGGCGCCTCCAGTGACCACCTTGGGTTGCTGTGGTCTGGGCTGGAACATGGGTGAGGACAGGGAACCCCCATTCCTCTAGGAATAGCTTGATGTTCCAGTTCTTGTTTCCACTGAGCTGAATTTGCCTCCCTGGATTTTCCCCTATCAGTCATACTTCTACCCTTTGGGATTATAAGAAGTCAATCACATCTGCCCTTCTGAATCTATACATATTTGAAGGCAGCGCTCATGATCCCTCTGACTGTCCCAATCTCCACCATTCCTCTTTCTGATGTGGTTTCTAACCCTGCACTCTCCTGCCACCATCTCCTCGCCAGGCTGCAAGGTGTTAGAGTTCTTGACAGGAGGAATCACTGGAAGAGCTTTTTCAAAAGAAATACGTACTCCCTTAATTTCCCATATCCCAAGGATTTTTAACTACCATTTGGGGGTATGTAGCAGACGGAGCATGCCTATTTTGAAAACCCATGTCTCTTCTGTTTCTTCTTCTTCAGAAACAGCCAGACTTTAAAGTGTGACTCTCAGATCTGAGCCTTATTCTCCAGCTGCATTCTGAGCAGTATGGAGTAGAGAAGGCTACCCTCCTTATTTTAGGTACTATACTTCTGTTAATGCAGCCTAAAACTAAATTAGGTTCTTTGATAGTCTTATCATGAAATTAGCAAAACTATGACCTACATTGTTACTTGGCTATTATGTTGAACTTGACTTAGAGTCCTCTTTTAAATATATTTTTAATAATGTTTGCTAAATATTAAGTATTTATTTATTGTGCCTTTTGTTTCAATCTGCTGAGAACCTTTTGCATACTGATTCTGCCAATGCTTATTTCAACACTGCAGTGAGATTAAGAAATAGGTGCAGTGTGTCTGATGATTGGCCCCCAGAACATACTGCCATATTCCGGATCTGCTGGCCCGCCAGACTCTTCAGGTGCTTCAGGAGGGCTCGGTATGTCTGAGTTTTCTCCTCTGGAAGCTCGGAAACTCGCTCAGCCAAAATGTCTTTTACTTGGGCCAGACTACAGCCGGCACCTATTGTCAGTCCTAGGAAGCAAATTGTTTTTATAGGTGACATGGGAGGAGCAACTGAATTATAATCATGGTGCCAGGGCTGTCGCATTCAGCTGGTGCATTGGCTCCCAACACTGGCTGCACAGAGAATCACTGGGAACTCAAAACAGCACAGATACCTTACTCCCAAATCACTTAAGTCGGAATTTCCAGACACGGGGCTTTTTCAAAGGCTCCCCAGGTAGTTCTGTGCAGCCAGGAGCAATCCCTGGGCTGGTCTCTACTCTTCTTTAGACAAATGCAAGGAAATAGAGGCTAGAAAGAAGGAATGAGAGTGACAACTAGCAGGTGGCAGACCTTACTAGAACTCTCCTGACTGACCGCAGTGAAACTATGCAAAGATGTTTGTGACTAAGGGGAATAAATCTGATGGCATTAAAATAATGACAAAGGATTTTCAATCACTTAGATCATTGTCTATAATCAATAATGCTTTGACTGCCGATTTGCACCTCTACAGGTAGTGTTGATAATCAAAATCCTTGACAACCAGTTCCAAGAGGGCGCCAGCCAATCAGAATGAATACAGCTCCTGAGGACCTTCCCCAGATATTATGTTGGGTATTATTGGGTGTGGGGACATCGGGGGTCCCCAGGGAGTGTCCAGGGAAGTGGGAGTGATGGGACATCATCCAGGAGGATTGGGGCAATGCTATTTGCTACCTGACAAGGAAGTAATTAAAAATAAACAGGTGTTGCAGGCATACTTGTGAGTATTGGCAGGCTATTAGCACCAGCTTTGGGGTTTCCCTACAATAGAGATGAAAAGGGTCAGATCAATCTTTGAAAGTGAAGAAGTCACCCAAACCGTCAGGGGATCACTTAGTTGGTCTTTTAAAATTAATCCTTGACTTCTTTGCCTTTGTAGAATGAATTGCCCACACATAGAGTCTGATTTGACATCACTTCCAGGGCTGGGTTCTAACTTTAGTTAGTCTGTTTTCCTCAGGTTGCAGGCTAGGCTTTGATTTTTCTCTTGTGGATTAATCTTTGAGAATATTTTACCCTCCCGCATAGCTTTATCTTTTATCTATATTAAGAATGTACTTGGCACAATACTTCTTCCACCCCTGCCAACATACCCATATAACACATAACATACCTGCAGCTTCAATAATCACAGCTAACCTAATTGATTAGGGAAAACATTATCTGTTCCTTATTATCCTTATACGAAGCAAATCTTGCCTAAAGATAACTCAATTTCTCCTCCCCCTGGAATGTCTCAACCTAGAGTCCTCACCCTGTTGCTGCCCAGTGTTTCATAAAAGGCACTCTGTAACATAGGAGCCCATCTCAGACCCATCAGCGATGGTTCATTGCTTCCTATCACCACAGGATCCATCGGAGCTTGGTCTTTAACTTCTGCAAAAATCCTGGCCATACTTTTTGCTCTCAGGAGCACTGGGAAGTCCAAGCTTGTTTCCTGTCATGCAGTCCCTCCTAGTCCCTCCTACCTTATAGACCCAGAGCCTTATTAGTAGGGAAGAATTCAGAAACAAAAGGATGTTGTTGTTGTTGTTATTTTAAGGTCAGAAGCATTGTACAGACCAGCCTGACCATCTCTTATTTGACACAGGTAAAATAGGGCAGTTCAGCCCCAGGGTAGAGTAAAATGCTGGCTGTCTGCTCTGCTCTATTTCCATTGCTCACATTACCCCCTGACTTTGTGTTAGGCTTGACATGGTTGTACTGAGAAAATTCTACTTACTGTATTCCTATTCACATTTTATTCCATCTTTGGTCACAAAACCTAGCCTGTATAATTGGAAAGAGCTTCGACTTTTTTTATTCTTAGAATGTGGGTTTTGTTCTAACTTCGTGTTTTTCAGAGTGCATGGGTCTATGGGATAAAGATGTGGGGACTTTCTGGAGTACTTACTATACTAAAGATTTTGAGGGGAAAAAGTGTACACTGAGTCAAACATGTACGTGATTTGGATCAGCATTCAAAATTTAAACAAATATAAACCTTCACAGAAATTTACTTCCCGTGGGAGGGGTCCTGGGAGGGGGGAACACACACATTTGGCTCCAATGTACCCCTCCCCCACCAATGTTGGCATTCTTCCGGGCCTTAGGAAAAATTTGGGAATCTTGGGAAAAGTTCCTGGAGGAACATTCTGCCACTAGAGGGTACTCACACTTTAATTTTAAGAGGGCCTGAGGAAGGCCTACAGCTTCCTCAGATTTCAGAATCCGGCTCTACTTTGCAGATCCAAACTGAGCAGTCCATTCCAGCCATCAATTGGGCAGGCTATGGAGTGAGCCTGGGGGATGGGGAAAGCCTCATCAAGTAAGGGAAATAGTTCTCAAGTGGAAATGGGAGATGTGTGGCTTGGTGGCCTGGCCACTAGCCAGTTTGGGGACCTTTGGCAAGTCTACTCTCCTTTTGCATCTTGGCTTCCTCATGAGGAATTCCTAAAAATGAGGGATTTGGGTAACCCTGAGGAATCTAATTTGTGCTCAGAAGGGTCCTCTCAGGCACAGACATACGGGGGCTCAGTGATAGGGGGATGGTGAAAAGTCTCATCTCTCCTTTGAACAGAGCAGCTTATTTTCATTTATTTATTCTGTTTAAGGTTTTTTTTTTTTTTTTTTTGAAGGCAGGGTTGGGGTGTTAGAGAAGTCTGAAAACTGGGCTAAATAATACCTGGGGTGAAGATTAGGGAAAGTTTTTCCTACCTTAACCTCCTGCTTACATTGGTTACCTCTGCTCCCAATCCACCCAGTCTACCACTACCTCTTCTCTCCCTTCTGTTCTCACCAAGATTTTGAGTGAATCTAAGCACATTCCCCTTGTTTTCTGAGTGACACTCAGGTGTGCTACCTGAGTCGTCCCCAGGCTGGAGCTGCAAGGCCGCAGTGCTGGGCAAAACCAGGAAGGGTCCCTCCCCTCACAAATGGGTAGGATGATGCCAGGGAAAGGCATGCTTGCTGGTCTGCTGCACAGTCCAACTTCGGCTGATGCTGGTTAGGAGCCAGGAAGGTGGGACTCCTGGATGGCAGTGATACAGCCAAGGCAGGTCCCCTCCCCTGCCTACCACTGATGTCCAAAAGCACACAATGGCCTACAAGTCAGTCTTGACTCAGCTTTCAGTTCAGTCTACCTCCTTGTTGCCTAAGTTAAGAAAGTCATCATTACCACTGTATCACAAATTCAAGTTCCTGACCCACTCATTCATTCATTTTTTCCCATTAACTCATTTGTCAGTCATTGAACTGAGCACTTATATGCATGTATAGTACTTACATGCATGTGCTTACATGCTAGGAGTTCTGGGGAATGAGGAAAGGAGTAAAATAAAATTCCTTTTGTCAAAGGGTTTGCTGTGCATCTTGAAGGCAAAGTCTTGCAGGTTTTCTTCCTACTTTGTGAGTACCACCTTGCCTGATGTAGTAGTATTTGCATGTAGTGGGCCACAATATCCCTTAAGGACATTGTAAGTGACTGGGGTGCTTGCCTGGGCAGGTCTTTGTCTCATTTTACCTCTTGCCATTGTTCACATGAAATAAGTAGCATTCAAGCACCAGACAATATTTCTCCTACTTTCTCCTTGCAAACATCCTCCCTCCTAGAAATTGACTATTCAACTGATGGATAGCACTAGTTCTCTTGCTGTCTTCCCATCAAAATTACACTGCAAATTTACTGTCTTTGGGTCATCATGGCATTTTATAGGCAAGAATCCTGCAAGTGACTACAAGGTCTTAAATGATATCATCTGAATACCTCATATTCTGTGCAAAGCTTTTGATAGTAAAGTTTTATGGTAGGGATATTATATCACATCAGAAAAATGATGAAGTGTTAGAAATAGGCCAGACAAGACAATGTGTAAGTAGGTTCCAAGTTCCTTGGTAAGTGTAAGCTTTGTGCAGGCATTGGTTCACTAATGTTTTACTAAGAATACCAGGAACTCACCATCCCTTGTTTTGGATACCATACTGAGCTCAGAAATCCTAGCAGGAGAGAGGAGAATTGGGTGAAAATGTCCTTGAGATTTCATTGCAGGTCCTGAAAAGTAAATACATATATTTTAGAGAGATTTAGGAAAGAGAAAATGCCCTTTCTTGGCATTTAAAGTTTCTCATAAAAATATTCAGATACTAGTTTTTAAAAAATTGATAATAAATGTATATAGATGTAAAAGCAGTAGCTATATGTCCTGCAAAGTAAATTTATAAGGATGCTCTCCCAGTACATGTATTTATTTATTTATACATTTACTATATGTTTATAAAAATAGAAAATAGAATGAATGGGAGGTTCTTAGAAAGCTCTTACACATTGGAAGCAGGAGACATATATAAGAATATTCATAATAAGAAACATATAACCTACCAAAACTGAAGCAGGAAGAAATAGAAAATTTGAACAGACGAATTACTAGCAATTTGAAGCAATAATCAAAAAACTCCCAACAGACAAAAGTCCAGGACCAGAGAGCTTCACAGGTGAATTCTCAAACATTGAATTATTTATTTATTTTTAAAAGATTTTATTTATTTATTTGACAGAGAGCAGGAGGGCACAAGCAGGGGGAGTGGCAGAGGGCGAGGGAGAAGCAGGCCCCTGGCTGAGCAGGGAGCCTCACGTGGGGCTCGATCCCAGGACCCTGGGATTGTGACCTGAGCTGAAGGCAGACGCTTAATCAAATGAGCCCACCCAGACGCCTCTCCACCAAACATTTAAAGAAGAGTTAATACCTATTCTTCTCAAAAGAATTATTCCAAAAAATAGAAAAAAGAACTTCCAAATTCCTTCTGTGAGGCCAGTATCGCTCTGATAACAAAACCAGATAAAGACATGACTCAAAAAGAGAACTACAGGCCAATATCTCTGATGAACATGGATGCAAAAATCCTCAACAAAATACTAGCAAACCGAATCCAACAATACATTAAAAAAATCATTCACCACCATCAAGTGGGATTTATTCCTGGGATGCAAGGGTAGCTCAATATTCACAAATCAATCTCCATGAAGCATCACATCAATAAAAGAAAGGATAAGAACCATATGATCGTTTCAAAGATGCAGAAAAGGCATTTACAAAGTACAACATCCATTCATCATAAAAACCCTTGACAAAGTAGGCTTAGAGGGAACATACCTCAACATAATAAAAGTCTTGTATGAAAACCCCACGGCTAACAATAACTGAACAGAGAAAAATTGAGAGGTTTCCCCCTAAAGTCAGGAATGAGACAAGGATGTCCACTCTCACCACTTTTACTCAACATAGTACTGGAAGTCCTAGACACAGCAATGAGACAACAAAAAGAAATAAGAGGCACCCAAATTGGTAGGGAAGAAGTAAAACTTTCACTATCTGCAGATGACATGATACTATATATAGAAAGCCCTAAAGATCCCACCAAAAATGACAACAACAACATAGAACTGATAAATGAATTCAGTAAAATTGCAGGATATAAAATCAATGTATATAAATCCATTGCATTCCTATACACTAGTAATGAAGCAGCAGAAAATGAAATTAAGAAAGCAATCCCATTTACAATTGCACCAAAAATCACAAAATATTTAGGAATATACTTAAACAAAGAGATGAAAGACCTGTACTCTGAAAACTATAAAACCCTTGTGAAACAAATTCAAGATGACACAAAGAAATGGGAAGACATCCCACGTTCATGAGTTACAAGAATATTGTAAAAATGTCTATACTACCCAAAGCAATCTACAGATTTAATGCAATCCCTATCAAAATACTAACAGCAGTTTTCACAGAATTAGAACAAACAATCCTAAAGTTTGTATGGAACCATGAGAGACCCTGAATAGCCAAAGCATTCTTGAACAAGAAAAAAAAATGCAGGTATCACAATTCTAGACTTCAAATTATATTAACAAAGCTGTAGTAATCAAAATAGTATGGTATTGGCATAAAAATAGACACATAGATCAATGGAACAGAATGGAAAACCCAGAAATAAACCCACAATTATTTGGTCAATTAACTTTTAACAAAGGAGGCAAAAATATACAATGGGAGAAAGATGGTTTCTTCAACAAATGGTGTTGGGAAAACTGGACAGCAACATGCAAAAGAATGAAACTGGACCACTTTCTTATACCATACACAAAAATGAACTCAAAATGGATTAAAAACCTACTGTGAGATCTGAAACCATAGAAATCCTAGTAGAGAACACAGGCAGTGGTTTCTCTGACATCATCTGTAGTAATATTTTTCTAGCTATGTCTCCCAAGACAAGGGAAATAAAAGCAAAAATAAATTATTGGGACTACATCAAAATAAAAAGTTTCTGCCCAGCAAAGGAAACAAGCAACAAAAAGGCAACCTACTCAATGGGAGAAGATATTTGTAAATGACATATTCAATACAGGGTGAGTATCCAATATGTGTAAAGAACTACAACTCAACAGCCAAAAACCAAATAATCCAATTAAAAATGGGCAGAAGACATGAACAGACATTTCACCAAACAAGACATACAGATGGCTGACAGACACATGAAAAGATGCTCAACATCACTCATCATCAGGGAAATGCAAATAAAAACTACAGTGTGATATCACTTTATACCTGTCAGAATGGTTAAAATAAAAAACACAAGAAACAACAGGTGTTGGTGAGGATGTGGAGAAAAAGTAACCTTTGCGCACTGTTGGTGGGAATGCAAACTGGTGCAGCCACTGTGGAAAACGGTATGGAGGTTCTTCAAAAAGTTAAAAATAGAACTGCCCTACGATCCAGTAATTGCACTACTGGGTATTTACCCCCAAAATACAAAAATACTAATTCAAAGGGATACATGCACCCTATGTCTATTGCAGTATTATCTACAATAGCCAAATTATGGAAACAAGCCAAGTGTCCATCAATAGATGAATGGATAAAGAAGATGTGATATATATATATATATATATATATATACACAATGGAATATTAGTCATAAAAATGAATGAAATCTTGCCATTCGCAATGACATGGATAGAGTTAGAGGGTATAATGCTAAGTGAAATAAGTCAGTCAGAAAAAGACAAATACTATGCAATTTCACTCATATGTGGAATTTAAGAAACAAAACAAATGAGCAAGGGCAAAAAAAAAAAGAGAGAGAGACAACCTAAGAAAGATTTTTAACAACAGAGAACAAACTTATGGTTACCAAAGGGGAGGTGGGTGGGGGATGGGTGAAATAGGTGATGGGGATTAAAGACTGCACTCACCATGATGAGCACTGAGCAATATACAGAATTATTGAATCACTATATTGTACACCTGGAGCTAATATAACACTGTGCGTTGACTATACTGGAATGAAAATAAAAAATAATAAAAAAAGAATATTCATATAGCCAAAACTTGGAAAGCACTCCATGTCCTTCAACAGTAGAATGGATGAGCAAATTGTACAGTCATACAATGGAATCTAGCAGTTACCTGCAACATTATGAGTGTATTTCAGGTCAAGAATGTTGAACAAACAAAGCAAATTGAAGAAGAATACTGTGTCAGTCTATTTACGTGAAGTTCAAAAATATGCTAAATGACATATTGCTTAAAGACTCAAATATATGTGGTAAAATTGTAAAAACAAGAAAGTGACTGACCATCACATTCGGACTATTGAGTGCTTCTGAGAGGACGGGAAGTGTAGGGGATGTGGTTAGGAGGACTCATGGGGCTTTCAAAGTTCTTGGTAAAGTTCTCATTCTTAAACTGGGTGTAGGTGATAACTGGGTGTGCACTGTTAACATACCCATACATATTTTATAAACTTCTCTTGTATCTACTCACTAATTAACAAAAACAAAATAAAAAAAGATAAGATAAATTAAATGATAAAAAACCCCTCTAATATTTTTTCTCCACACCTCAGGGGGTCATGCTGCATACTCCCAGGGTATAGGTATACCCAACTTTGGAGACCACTTTATTATAATATAATATTTGTATTGTTCTTTTATATTATTATAATATATACAATTTATACATATTATTTATATCTAAAATTATAGAGATAATTAGATCATTATATCATATGATATATATCACATATATTCATGACCCGAAATAGCATATTGTGTACTATTATGTTATATATCATATGATATAATGATCTAATTATTTCTATAATAATTTCTATAATGCACTACTATATTATAACCTTTTTATTCTAAAGGATGAGGCTTAAAAAGGAGTGTTTGTAGACTGAGAGCAAAGTAGGGGATGGGAGGTCAGGCTCGGCTCTAACAGTGGCGTGAGAAATGCTGTAATCACTCACCCAGTGAGGTGTTGCCCGAGATGAGAGGGGCTTCAGGATGTTTGGCTTTCAGCTCCAGGAGATCCTTGAGGGTGCCAGGGGAGATCCAGGTAACCCTCTCTCCACAAAAGGTCAGGGTTTGTTTTTATGGCTTCTCTGCCATTCTCTAAGTGCAAAGGACAAGTGTGTCTGCACATGCGCACACCTGCCTTCCAGGTTCCCCGAGGGAAGTATATTCCTCTAGAGAGATTGCAGGAGTCCCGGGGTCCATTTGACTGAAAAGACTCACTACACTCATTGACTAATGCCTGTATTTCCATAATTAGATATTCACTTCTTTAACTTAAGACTTGTTAATATATGTAGCTCTTGGCAGGCAAGTGATGATATAGGTTGGCACCTGTCAATGATACTTCATTATAGATAATTGAACACAATTCAGTATCATGGCCTTAAAAATCATAATTATACTAATAATCCTAAATTAACATCGTCAGCCTGGACTTTTCCTCTGAAATCCAAACTCATAGATCTGAATGAGAACTTGATGTCTCCTCAGATTTAACATATCCCAAACGGAACTCCTCATACCCCATCCTTTCTGAAGCCCCCCAAAAGGATCCCCCACCAAAAAAATACCCTGCTCTTCCTGAGGTCTTCCCCTTCTCTGTCAATGGCCACTGCCCTTCCTTCAAAATATATCCAGAATCCACTCTCTTCTCAGCTACATGCTGGCAGCCTGGTCCAACACCACCATCTCTCAGGATAGACCTACCACCCTGACGAGGCTCACTGTTCCTTCCTGGGCCCCTCACCAGGCTCTTCCCATCCCAGCAGCCAGAAAGATCCCAGATCCCATTACAACATTAATAGGAACCTGCCACTCCCCCGTCCAACCTCCCTAATCATTTCTCATTTCTCACGGGGTAAAAGTCAGCAGCCTAAGTCCTTGTGGTCTGTTCCCCAGTGGCTTTCTGACCTCGTTCACTGTGCTCCAGCCAGGCTGCACCCTGCTCTGCCTCTTGGTCAGGGCAGGCGCTCTCCTACCCTTGACCCCTTTGCACCTGCTGCATGCACTGCCTGGACTGCTTTTTCCCTACGGTCGAGGCTGCTCCCTCACTTCTGGTGAACTTTTTTCAAATGTTACTTTCTCAGAGAAATCTTTTCTGGCCAGTATTCCAGCTCCCTTCTCAGTTTTTTTTTTTCCTTCTTACCACTTCTCACTGGCTAACATGCTGTATCTCTTATCTATTATCTTGCTTATTACCTGTCTCTCCTACCAGATGACAACCCCCTGTGGGTAGGTTTTGTGTTAGTTTTGTTCCTTGCTCTATATTTAGTACCTAGAACAGTGCCTGGCAAGTTGGTGGATGATTGATATTTGTTGAATGAGTGAATAAACACATCAGAACCCCTTCAGAAATAGATATTTTATAGAATGGGACCACTAGATGCCAGAGAGGATAAAGAGATGCTGATAGAGGGAAGGGTAGGTCATAGGGAGTGCCCTGGAAGTACTTCTTGGGGTCAATGTACTAGTGTGGCTGGAAGACCAAGTTAGAAGCTGAGCAAAGCTGGACGGCTAGGACAGTCAACAGAAATGCTGCAGATGACAATGGTGAGCATAATGACGAAGTCATTCAACAAAGAGCCTCAGCTGAGGCTTCAGGGAGCGTGTCCAGGGCATCAGCCAGGGAGGGCTTGCTGACCTGGGTGGGGACAGGCTTCTTGATGTGACCAAATATTTCCACAGTTTGACAACTTTGCAGGAAGGAAAGGTGGTTTTATAAAACTTAGTTGATAATCAGTGACATTTGAACAAACACATAAAGCACCCAACTTGTCTTACCAAGAGTTCTGGGGGAAATATGAGCTCCTGGGTAGGGTCCAAGGGCTGGAACTCAACTTCTGCAAATAACTCTGTGCAAATCTTTATAAAGGGCAGAAGATGGTCTTGTCAGCCCAGCTAAACCAGAAACAGCATTGTAATTCTTTACATTAATTAGGCAAAATGAACATAGTCATAATTCTCCTACTCTCCTAATATAAGAGTAATGGGAAATAGTTCAAACCAAATCAAAGTTTTAAATAAGAACCTTGTTGTAAGAGAAATACTGATTTGCCCCTGATATGATACTAAGGAAAAGAGTATTCTTTGAAATAGTTCAAAGAGTCCCCTGTGAAACACCAAGGCAGTATATGAGAAATTATCAGAGGTCAATAAGTCTGGGGACTCATCTTCACTGGGCCCCAGCCACTGTCCTCTCACCAGTCAAGTCAGGATTCAAAATGCTAAAGGCTCTGAGAAGTCCTGAAGTTTAAATAAAAATGACTCTAGACATACATGCCTATGCATAAACCACCCCCACTAATTTTAATAACAATAGCTAACATTTATGGAGTGTTACATTCCAAGTGCTTTTACATGTATTAATAATTTGTTTAGTCCTCACAACAATTATATAAAGAATGTAAATTATCATCTCCATTTTTACCAGTTAGGAAACTAAAGCACAGTGGAAAGTTACACAAACTCTAATCTTGTCTGAAAGAGATCTGTTTTAGCTTTGGAATCACTTACTCCCAGAAAACATTCCTAAAAACATGCAGCAAACTGGGAGAACCATGGGAAGCAGAGCTAGAGGTCTGTGTATTGGAGAAGAACATGGGTAGACATCAGGGGCAGATCTGGGTTCATTCTCAGCTCTGCCACAATTTGGCTCCCTGACCCTCCCAAAAGAAAGGTACTTAACCTTTCTAAAGATAAATGGAAATAATGTATATTTAGGGTAACTTGTGACAATTAGGTGAAATGGATTGACATTTGTCCAACACTCCCCCTCTTTTTCTGTTTCTCTGGGGTCTTCCCAGGTTCCAGAAGAGAAACTTGGAACTGTTCCTTATAAAGGCTCTTAGTAAGACCCCAGATTGAGGAATTACAGGCCAACGTCTCAATGATCAATTTTTGCATTAGCTAGAATTAGAAATGTAGGCAGTACCTGGGGGCAATAATGTGGTATGTCTTTAAAACCTAGGAATAAGCTGGTGTGTGAGAATGAAAATGTAAAAGAAAACATAAAGAGTCAGATCTGAGGAATTAAAGTTTCACCAAACAGGTGTTAGACCAGGGCTTAATAGCTGGTCCAATAATAGAAGATCTTAACATAGCTTTAAGAGAAGGGAGAGTCATGGGGCAGACCCCTGCCATCCAGCTGGTCTACCCTGGTGGAAGAGAGGGGTCTTCTGCGGTATTACCCTTAAGATTGTCCAATTGCTCTGCATCCATGTTCACTAAGCAACCTCATTATAATGGAACTTCCTATGTGTGTTTTCCTATAGGGAAAGGACATGCAGCTCAGTGACCATAAGATCCACTTTATAATTGGGTTTCTGTAAATGAATATTAGGGCACATTCCGGTTTAAATATCATGTTCTTTTGAGTTTGGTTAAAGTGAGTCAGGTTGTCCCCAGAGCCCAGTCATTACCCAGATGGACTTTCTGAGGCCACAAAATCAAGGACAATTGTATTGTATGACAAAATCGAGGATAATTGAATGTATTGACCCCTCTGAGGCACACTGATCCTCTGTGAAGTGTTCTTGGAGGGTGCAGTCTACCTTCTTTGGCAATAACCCTCTATTTCACTGCACATCTTCTTCAGACTAAAATGAGGTGACAGTGGGAGGCCAAGAATGGGAACAAGGTAGGTGTGCGGGATAGAAATAGATACAGCAGGGGGATGATGGGCTTCGTTTTGTCTAAGGGCAGCTCTGTTCTCTCAGATTTCCTTGTCTATGGGGAGCGGACCCTATTTTATCCTTATTCCAACTTCTCTGAGTAATTCCTTTAAGAACTTGGCAGTGGGTCTTTTTTGGAAACTACTATCTCTCAGAGAGCAAAGCCAGAGACCGCAATGTTTCCGGCTAAACTTCCCAGCTGTGGTGATCATGCCCTTGCCATGTGACTTTAGACAGGCTCCCTTCCTGAGGTTGCAGTGCCCTCTCTCTGCAAAGGAGAGGACGTGGTGATAGAGGACAGCTCTGCCTGAGTGGGGCCAGGCACAAAACCCCCTTCCCACCCAAGGATGGGACTCATCAGAGTTGGGGCAGGTCTTTTCCTCTTGTCTGAGTGGGTTTATATTTTCTCATTTCATCCTTCCAGAGACTGAAGGGGAAAATCAGAGCCTGGCTTCAAATCACCCTGTTATCAGGTTCCAAATGAAAAGTGCTTTATTCATGCATGTGCTCTGGAGATTTGAAAGTAATGCAGAGTACGATCATCAACACTGAACAAGCAAAGTTTAACAGGGGGCCAGCATTAAGCAATACTCTCAGGGAGAGGACGAAACAAACAGGGACTCACGTCACTTTCCCTGCGGAGTGAGGAAGAATCATTTCCTCCAGGATCCAAGCAGCATTTTCCTGTTCCTTTCTGTTGACAGCCATTTGACTCCTAGGACAGTGAAATGCCTTTAGATGAAAAACTTTTTAATAGGTAAATGGGTGTGTGCCTCGAAAGGCTTGGCAATTTAAATGAGACTCCAGACTTTTTTTAGTCATTTTTGGTGGTTTCTGTTGGAACAGGGATAATCACAAGATCTTTTGCTTTATTTCAAATATAGAATGATTGGGGCGTCTGGGTGGCTCAGCCGGTTAAGCGCGGGCCTTTGGCTCAGATCATGATCCCAGGGTCCTGGGACTGAGTCCTGTATCAGGCTCCCTGTTTAGAGGGGAGTCTGCTTCTTCCTCTCCCTCTGTGTGCATGTGCTCACTCTCTCTCTCTCTCCCTCAAATAAATAAATAAATTTTTAAAAAATAAAATGATAATATAGACTATATGAAATATAAAATATGATGTATAATATATAGAAAAATATAATATATAGTATAATAATAATTTATATAATAATAAAGAATATAAAGAAGCATAAAAGAAACTCTAATTACCCTATTCCACTGATAATATTTTTATATATTATATATGTACTATATTTATAGTACAATATACTTTTTATTTTGCCTTTTTATTCATTTATTTGCCTATTATTTTGTTCATTTATGTGTTTATTTATTCATTTATATTGTGAATCCTTTTCCATATCATTAAAATGTCTTTTTTTTTAATTTAAGTTTAATTAGTCAACATATAATACATCTAAAATGTCTTTAAAATATAATTTTGCTGATCATATAAAAGTCCATCTTCTGGCTATTTTATCATATATTCATATATATTTATATATATAATATATATATTTATATACATATATATTCATATATATATTCAATATATTCATAACATTTGCTATTGTTATATACTTAGGTTTTTTCCCTTCATTGTATAACTATAAAAAACATATGAACATTTCTGTTCATTACATGGACAGCTTTGTGTACGTCTCTGAATTTTTTCATAGGTGAATTCCTAGTGGTAGAATTAATTGATATGATACCTGTTAGGGAAATGATGATTTAATCATTCTCTAGAATATATAAGATCTAGCAATACTGAATGTTATCATTTATATAAGGACCTTTCAGACAAAAGAAAAGAAAAAAATAAAGAAAGATGGAGAAAAAAACCTATTTTGGAACCGGGTGTTCTAGACATTTGGGATCTGCATGGGACTGACTGGGAATGAATGGACAGTTGAATTTTACAGCAGGTTTCCATTTACTGGTTCTTTCATTTCCCATTTCCTCCAAATTTACCTCTTGTGTATTCTTCCTTAAATAATTTCTCCTCAGTATCTAGTAAAATACTTTCTTTCAGATACCCCAGTTCTCTGCCCAAATGCCTCAGGCTGCCATCTTCCTAACTGTCCAAGAAGCAAAACCGTCTGGGCCCAGCGACCAGAGCTTCCTCTCTTACTCAGAGCTCTGAGAGCATCCACGACGGGCCATGAATCAACTATAACAGAAACAGCCCATCTTCTCTTGACCTAGTAGATGTGAGCCTCGGGTATTTCCATTGGGGCCCAGTTTATTTCACCCATTAAAGTCCCTGGGGCTAGCTGGCTGCAGGTGGATCTCTGACCACATTTTTGCCTTTATCCCCAGAGTCTGTGCCTGGAAAGGTGGATAACATCCATATTCCAGAGAGAGGGAGGTTTCCTTTAACTTCCTTTATTCATATTTGACAAGTGCTTCACTTACACTGGCAATTTAATGGGTTTACAAGCTATTCATTTTATTTCTCAGCTTATCAACTTTGGCTCCCCCGTGTGGCCGCAGAAGTCTGGGACATGCGCCTACGGGGGCTTCCTGGCTCTGGGTAGAGGGATACACCTGCTGGTCCACTTCCAGGCCCACCTCTGCTATTTGTGGAGCGAGGGCAAAAGTATAAATGGATGCCCCGGCCTTGGCCTGCTGCCCTCCTCTTCCCACCCTGGCTCTGTTCTGAACTGCGGGGCCTCAAACACCTGTGTGAACATCCCGGCCTGAATGCCTCAGTTCCATCCACTCTTTCCAGAAACAGCCAGTTGTTGGCTGCCCTCTAACCTAGGGGGTACACACTGGCTGTTATGATCTGCCCTAGGAAGATGGGCTCAGGAAGAGGTTGGTGTTAGGCCTGGGAATGGGGTCAAGACCAAATCTGGAGCATGGTCTAGAAAAGGGTGAAGGGTCCAGCTAAACAAGTCACCTTGGCTCCATTGTCTCCTGAGAATGGCTGGAGGAGGGACCAGCAAGGGGCCTTTCCAAATGTGGAGTCCCCCTTGCTTGGGAATAAGGGCAGTACTGCCCACATCCATCCTGCCTCAACAGCACCGTCAGTAAACTGTAGCCACTAAGTGCCAGCCAGAACTTTGCTACATGCTTTGCCAATGATTTCTCATTTGATCTTCACAGCAGCCCAGTGAAGCACCCCATTTTATCTTATTTTATTTTATTATTTTAAAAAGTTTTATTTATTTATTTATTTGTCAGAGAGAGAGAGAGAGCACAAGCAGGGGGAGCGGCAGGCAGAGGGAGAAGCAGACTTTCCTCTGAGCAAGGAGCCCGATGCGGGACTCGATCCCAGGACCCCAGGATCATGACCTGAGCCGAAGGCAGACACTTAACGACTGAGCCACCCAGGTGTCCATCACCCCATTTTATGACGGAAACTCCCTGTGCTCTTGTACTTGGGGTTGAATTTTGGATTCTACACTGCATATTTGGTTTCTTTACCTGCTTACACTTTCCCAGCCAGTCTGAATTCTTGGAACTACCCTTGCCTCCCCAAAGCCAATTCCACACCTTTTCTTGTCTCCTTGGGTTTGCTGGAACCCTACTACCTGTGCTGTCCTGGTGCCTTGTGTAACTAGTCACGGAAGATACCTGGATGCCTGCTTAGATCACCTGCCTGCCCTCTGTGGTGGGGTGTGCAACACCAGAGGTGGTGTAACTTTCACCCTATCCTCAAAAAATAGCTAAAATTCTCATGAGTCAGTTGAGACTAACTCACATAGCCTCCCTTATAGTCTGTTTAGATGATCTAAACAGTTCAACCCCTGTATTCCCAGCCTTGACCAGCTGTCACTGTCATTCGTGCTCTGTAGGGTGTCCCCAGTCACCTACTCACCACACAGAAGGTCCTTCCACTTGCGAGAATTGGCCGATACCCAGTGCAGTGGCACAGATTACCTTATCAGAGAAGAAGCATGCTTATCAGTAGGCTTTATTTTCACTAGTTTCTTTCCAAAGTTAAAACAGACCTAGTTTTTTGTTTGTTTGTTTGTTTTGAGAGTGTTTAAATATCTGCCAGACTGTCCAATGCTTTTTTCCTCTTCTTAGAATATGAACCTTCCCACCACATCAATCCCAGTTTTATTTTCTGTCCTAAAGCAGATGATCATCCATCTGGTGAGCTCACTTGCATCCATCTATTAGTTTATTCATTCATTCAACATGTGTCTATGTAAGATACAGGGGATCCTAAAACAAGAAAACATAGGCAAGTTCTAAGGCATGGTATGATTTTCTGTAATGGGGCAGAGAGAGCAAAGGAAGCAACTGGTAGATTACAGGGTGTCTGTGCTCACCCTTCAGGTCTCCATCTAAGAATCTGTGTATCTAACAGATGACTTGTTTAGAGACTGTTGACACCTGAGAATGGTGTTTATTGATCCTGCAAAAGGGATATGAGTAGGTACTCCTCTCTAGTAACTTAAACTCATTTTTAAATTTAAAAGTGTCCTTTCAATATGTGAAGGGCTCTGTTGTGGGTTGACTTGTGTCCTCCAAAAAAGATATGTTGAGGTTCTGACACCTGGAACCTATGAATGTGACCTTATTTGGAAATAGCACCTCTGCAGATATACTCAAGTTAAATTGAGGTCATACTGGATTAGAGTCCATCCTAATCCTTATAAGGACTAGTGTCCTTATAAGAAGAGGAAAATTTGGACACAGACACAGGGGAGAAAGCCCATGAGGAGACAGAGGCAGAGAGTAGAGCAATGCATCAAGAAATGCCAGGTTGGTTGTCAAGCACCAGAGGCAACGAAAAGGCAAGGAGGTGTCCTCTTTTAGAGCTTTCAGAGGGAGCACGGCCCTGCTGACGCCCTGGTTTCAGACTTGTAGCCTCCACAGCTGTGAAAGAATAAATTCCTGTTGTTTTAACTGACCTAGTTGGTGACACGGTGATGACAGACCCAGTGAAGGCAGCCAAGTAAGTCAATGGATAGAGAACTCAGGTGTCACGAGGTGTGTGTGGCCTCTCCAGCAAGTGCCCTGCCATTCTTCTCTGCTCCTGGGTGAGCTGTAGCTACTTTAGAAACAACCAGGGGGCCCCTGAGTGGGGCTGAGATGACCTTGTGAGTGGGGTGGAGCAGCCTGAAGCGTGTGGTGGCTTTTTCCATGTCAGCCCTACCTCCCAGGGCTTCCATGAGCTGTTCCTCTGAGGGCTGCGGGTGGTTCCTAAGCAGCGTGTACATGGACATCACCATCCCAGGGGTGCAGAACCCACACTGGGTGCCATGGCTCTTGGCAATCCTCTCCTAGAAGGACACATGCATGATCACAGGCCTTTCTGTTGTCACCACTCCTCACCAGAGTCCCCATCTGGCACCTCCCTTATCATGCTGGAACCCAGTGCCTGAGCAGTGCACCCCTGCCCTGGCTCAGAGTTGGCCAGCCATCCCCTTTCCTATGCTGCTCTGGAGGAGGTGACTCAGAAGCCATATTCTATCATTATAATCATCTCTCAAGCTCAAATGCCCAGATCCTTCTAACTGGGAGTTAACAGTGTGCAGCTTCTATTCCCAGAGTGAGAATTGTCTGGAAATCAATAATTATAAGGCAAGTATGTGTACATTTCAGAAATGATTTTCTTGAATACCTCCACATCTTGTCCAGCTTAATTCTGACCATGGGGCCACCTCTTTTTGATTGATTTGGAGACTATTTACTGTTGACCTCACTTTACCTTCTTCTTTAAATTCTTTTGTGTTGGCTCAAAAGGAGTTCTACTTTCAAAGAGCCAAGATTTTTGTCTGTGTCCTAGATCCTTGCTATTTAAAGTGTAGTCCATGGACCAGTGGTGTCGGCTCTACCCGGGAGCTTGTAGGAAGTGCAAAACCTCAGGCCTCTGCTCCAAAACTCCTGACTCAGAATCTGTATTTTTAACAAGCTCCCAGATGATTCTTAGCACATTAAAATTTGGGAAGCCCTGTTCTAGATTTCAGAGTGTTATTCTCTCTGATCTCCCCAGACATTCTAGTAAATTCTGCTCGGTCCTTGGCCTTTGCTGACCTTTTCTGGAATCGATTCTCATGTTGTGAAACCCAGAGACTCTCTGGGCTCCTCCTGCTGGAAGCACCTGCAGTCCTGGTGGATCTGGACCTATGATTCTCCAGTTCTCTAGCTCCCTTCTTTGTGACAATGACAGAAGAGTGGATGTGTTTCCTGCCAACGCTTAAAACCAGCCTCTGTGTTCCAGCTTCAAGTTAAGATTTGGAGAAATGATTGTCTGTGTGCTCTGGTACAGTCAGCCTCAGTTCTGATTTTACTCCCAAGACCTCCTATGCCACAGGGAATGATCCTGAGTTTTATCTTGTTCGCCTCTGACAATTTATCCTATGAATAATATCCTGTGTACAATATACTCCAGCCTATAGTCACATAGGCATCAATGTTTTGATAATTCTGCTTATCATTCAAGTGGAAAAAGTAAGAAAAAAAGATGATCATCTAATAAAATGTGGATGGATTTCCAGCTTTCTTTAAATCACCTTGGTGTTATTATCTTGATCAATATGCATCCAAAGCTTCTACTTACCTGATTACAACCTAGAAGCTCCAGGCAGCAGAGTCAACACAGCATTGGTTAAAAAGAAAAAGTTAAGAAGTGAGAAAATTACAGTGTGCTCTTACCTGCACTGGGTGAAGCCTGGTGTTGATGCTTCCAACACCTTCCACGGTGGTGACAGCAGCCCCATACAGAGAGCAGATGGGCACCAGGCATGCAGTAATGGAGAAGTGTCTTCATATGAGCAACACAAGGAAAATCAAGGAGAGTAACACAGTCCTGCCTCTTGGGGAATCTGGGAACCAAGAAGGGCAGCAGAAAACTCCCCAAGCCTATCATTCAGCCTGGGGGATGGGGAACTGGAGGGGTGACAGGGAAGGAGAATTTAGAGTCCTCTCTGCTGACACTGTACTATCTGTAAGAATTGAGGATCCTTAGAGGGAACCTGGGCATTCTGAACTTCAGAAAAACTTTCTAAGCCCATACAGACCCACTTGGGTCTGGACTCAATGGGAATGGACTCATGTCATCAGGAATATGATTGGACCTCAACTAGTATTCATTAGGATATTGACCCCATAACAGGTAAAAGGTACACTTATGTCTTTTATGTTTACATTTGAGAATTTTTTTGCTTGTTAATTTTAAAATCTCTGGATAAGTTCATTCAACAGTGGAATGACATGTGTTCTGAGGCTATTTCTTGATTTCTTGGGCCAGTGGATTTGGGAGCAGCCCACGTCCTGGAATCTGGCCCTTAATTAAAGGATGCAATTGTGGCCCAGGTCCCTGCTCTGCAGGGTTGGTTCAACCCAGCAGTAGAAAAGGCATTATCTTCAGAGCCAGAACATGTGGGGGTTCAAGTCCTTGTTCTAGAAACTTGTGTGATCTTGAACAAGTCACTTCATCTCTTTAAGCCTCAGTTTCCTCATCTGTAAAATGAATGGTTTGCCTAAATTGGGGTTTCTTAACCAGGGATGCATAGATGTGTTGGGTTTGGCCAGCAAACCCTGAGGTGGTGAATGAAAAGATTACTCCAGACACCTTAGTAGGAGAAAGGAGAAGGCGAGGGGGGGACCAGAAGCTCTAGTGGCGAAAGGTCCCAAGCTGGATTCTGCTCCCACCTTTATTGTGAATGTTATCAACACAACAAGGGAATAAGAAAAACAGGAAGGACTGTGAAGCCTTAATAATCAGGGCAATGGCATAGGGAGTATTGTGTGATTAGAACAAGCTGTGCTCGTGACGCATGTGTAGACAGCGAGTACATGGAGTACATGACCGCCAAAGATAAATGTTTCTCCTAAGTCAAGCATTTACTCCCTGGATGAGTATATTGAGCCGCAACGAGGATCTGGCTGTTTTCAGCCCAGAAACCTTAAAGGGACCCAGTTTTCTGGACACTCCTTCTTTGCTTTTCAACTCGTCTCACCCAGGGAGGCGTGCGTTTACTAAATCTTCTCTAGACAGGCATTATGAATTCTCACACAGATGGGCCTTAGGAGGTCTGTAATCTCCCTGAAACTATGTGCAAAATATAATTAGTTTATGTACTTTCTGAGTAGAGAGCTCATAGCTTTCATCCAATTTTCAGAGGGGTTGAAGATCTAAGGAGGGTTAGAATCACAAGGGCTTAGAGACATTTTGTGCTCAGATGGGAATATAAGCCTGGCAAAGAAACAAAGCCCCCCTGGCCTCTGGGTAGGATACCTGATCTTCGCGGACAGCGGGTCACGCTTCGACACCATCACAGTGCAGGCTCCGCACCCTCCTCCTCCACAGGCGTACTTGGTTCCTGTGAGGCGTACTAGAAGGGCTGTTCAAGGAAAAGATGCACGGCACACATGTCACCCCCTTACAGCTGCCTCCCTGGGGTGTCGCTAGTGAGGAAGGTCTTCTTTTGGGGGGTGAAGGGTAGGTCTGAGAAGTCATTTGCCTGCCAGGTCTCGGTAAAGGCCACTTTAGATCCTATTAGTTGTGTGATACTGAACATACTAACTTTTCCTGTTGGTTTTCTCACTTGCAAAGAGGGAAAAGTAATACCTACTTTATCTTCACAGGCTTATCATGAGCATCTTATAGGACGATGGCTGTAAAAACCCTTTGAAAAGCCCTATTTCGTTATAGGTATTCTGGGTCCCAATCATGTAATTAGGAGAGAAGATCTCATTTTTAGCAGTTCAATGTGTTCTAGTTTTGTCCATTTGTATTGCATTGGTTTTGTTTTTTAATTATTTTTATTTTTCCTTTTTAATTTTTTAAATTTAAATTCAATTAATTAACATATTAGTTTTAGAGGTAGAGGTCAGTGATTCATCATCTTATATGATACCCATCCTTCATTATTACATCACAAGTCCTCCTGAATGTCCATCACCCAGCTACCCCGTTCCCTCACCCCCCTCTCCTCCAAGAAAACCTCAGTTTGTTTCCTATGATTAAGTCTTATGGTTTGAAAACAAGTGACTGAGCCTTTGGCAAAAACTCCCATCCTTACTTTCAGATCTCATCTAACGTGTTCCTGTGCTCTCGCTTGGTCAGAGTCCAAGCCCAAATCCAGGCTCAGACTCCACCCCCTCTCTTTACTCCTCCTTCTTCCTAATTGTGGTCCACTTCCAGCCAGTTTAGTTTATGAGATTGGATGTAATTCATTTGACTGGTTCAGAAGATTTCAGAATCACTGACATTTTTTTTAAGCCATAAGGCTTGTTCATCTAAACTAAGTTCTAACATCAGATGCTTATCAGAGAGGCATGTAAATGAGTGGAGTGGGCTGCGTGTAACTGGAGAGCTTGTGCCCATTCTAGATAGGGCACTAGGGCAGTCCCTCCCTGCTCAGCAAGATGGCTGCCATGCAGCAATGACTATTTTCTCGTTTCTCATGAGAAGCTGAAAAATCTTGAGTTTTTAAAATATGAGATTTCCTAATTTTCAAGCATTGATAACTAACTAAACACCATGTGGACTTTTAAACAAAACTTGTCCATGGGCTGACTCCATCAATTTATAATTTCTGCCATTTCTTTACTTACCTTTTGGCTTCTCGGAGAGATACATTAGACCTACCACTTAAAATGTTTGTCATTATGAAGATCTAAATTTCAGAATATAAAATGGTCAGGAAAAATCTCTCATACGAGACAGATGTAGGGAAAGGCAATCTTTTCTGATGACACATGCTCTTCCTGAATCTGGAGAATCTGGTTTCCCGCCAGGCCAGGGTACATGCAACATAAATCTCTATTATATAACCACCCTCCTGGGGATTTGGAGAGCCCTTAAAGGAATAATTAGTGCTGAAGTAAAGAGCTTAGCTTCTGTTTCATTGCTATTAAATCCAGATATAAGAAGCTCTCCAAATAGCCCAATTAACTTACTATCCTTAAAACCACTGCCAAAAGCAGAGACAGCAAGGGCCAACGGGGCTGACGGGAGACAGAGAAGTTAGATTAGTTTTCATAATCATAGCAGGCTTAAGTTTTAAGGCAAACATAGACACTGCCCAGATTTTGATCAAAAGGATCCAGTTCTTTTGTAAGAAGGTCAGCAGAGTGACTTCTGGGTCCACATTCCTCTCTATCACCTGCGTTGGAAACAGAAAAGAGATTTATTATGGGGATCGAGAGGGTGATCGACAGTAATGTCTGCCGTGGCCTGCTTGATTTAGGCACTCGGGTATAATACTTTCATTTACCCATTTATTTTTTGCTCTGAAGGCAAACAAGTTTCACATACATGTACAGAGCTGGAGACTTACCAAGTGTGACAACAATGCTTTTATATGTGATTAGAGTGGGGGGGGCCACCGCTGGGTAAACCCCCAGTGGGAGTTACATTCTTCATGTTTGCTCCATTACCTGTGTGTGTGGAATCTTCCAACTCAGTCTTTTGTACTCCTGGAATATTTGAAACTGGGGAGAGACTTGGATGCTGTGTGTGTGTGTGTGTGTGTGTGTGTGTGTGTGTGTGTGTGTATATACAACGCAGGGTCCTGGAGGGAAGACATCTAGATAGGAAGTTTCTCATCTGGCACCTCTGAGACACCTCCAGTGGGGAGCACATGGATAATATGAACAATCTCAAGAGTTGGTGGCAGAAATGGGAGGTGGGGAGAGTTGCTGTCATCCTGAAGGGGTCCCTGAGTGTGCCAGTCCACTCATGGCAGAGCGGCTAATGGTGAGACTTGTCCCAGCTCAGGACTCAGGGTGTCTCTGGTGGTACACTAGAATTTCTCCCTCCCTCTCCTCGAGAAGTGGGGGATTACCACTCAGAAGCCTGGAGGGATCTTCTTTGGTGCTTCTTTCCCACTTGCTTATTTTGGGATATTTCCTTTGACTTTATTTTAGAGTGTCCTCTAAACACCTCCAGCCATTCTGTGGCATCAGAGGAAAGGAAGACACAGTGGGCTATTCATGTTAGGGTCTTCCTTTCTTCCTAGAAGAAAAACATGAATTTGTGTAGACCCTCCCCCTAAGAATAATTTTGGGCTCATGATTCAGAAGGGATTTGGAACAGAAAATAGACAAAGGAGACTCCAAAGCCTAGGCAGGTGGAACAAGTGAGTTAGGACTCAGCTCATGAAAGAAGGTTTGGAAAAATGTAGGGTGGCTGCTGGCTGTGGATGCTGGTTACAGGAGAGAGAGTTACAAGGGACATGAGGAAAACTCTATGTTCTATCTCCTTTCTTGGGGTGGGAGGGTGGACCCGGCCAGTTAGGTTTGTGGGACTGGAGTGCAGAGGGGCCCTGGAGGAGGTGGCAAGATCGCAGGGAAGCCACATGCTTTGGGAACTACAGAGAGGTTCCCCTGAGAGAGAGGGGCTCATGAGCAGAGCGGGCCTGGCAGAGGGCACTGAGGGTCAACCAGCAGCCTGTGTGGCCTGATCGTGGGCACTGACAGGGGGATACTAGGGGAGGGCGACAATGGCAGCGCCCACTCTTCTTGTCACATAGGTTCCCCCTAGAACTTAGTTGCAACCTGGGAAAGGGGACTGAAAATTGACGGCAATTACATTTCAACTAATTCTGATTAATGAAATCTCGACAGAAAAATTAAGTTGATAAATATAAAAATAAACAAAGCTCTATTTCTTGTCCTCCTGAGCTTGAGGATCAAGATATGTTACTAGATACAGTGCTACCAGGATATCAGGCCCAGTGCTAAGTGCTTTATAAGGACCCAGGGGATTTCCTACTAGATGAAAGAAGCATCTTGCTTTTAATCTTTTTAGGAAGTAGATTCTAGAGATGGGTACTCTGAGGCTCAGGGAGGTGAAGTAATTTGCATAAAGTTATACAGTAAATGGCAGAGCTGGATTGGACCCAGACTGCCTCATGCCAAGGCATGTGTGATTAACCCTGATGCTTTACCACCTCCCCATTTTCTCAGAAGCTGAACCTTGGCTGAGTGGGCAAGAGGCCAAATTAGTATGGGTTCCTAGTCCCTGGTTTCCTGTCCCTGACTGGACAAGAATTGCCCTTAAGCTAGTAGTTTCCTGCTGTCTCTGCAAGCCACAGTAGTATCACCCAACACTTACCTTTCTCCCATTCACAAAGAAAATCAAGTCATCCAGTTTCGATGGGCAAGGCATTGCACCTAAATAAATTTTGCCTTACAACTCTAGGTGCAGATGTTCTTTGGCACCAGTCAGAGAAATGAAAATTTAGCGCCAAGCAACTGAAATTCCTCCCTGTGCAGAAGCAGGCAGCTTAGAGCCCCAGAGAGCAGGGCAAGGGGTGGAGATTTCCCTGTTTTGTGGCCATTTAAGTCTACCGCACCTGTGTGGCCCGGCCTCTTCCTCTGCTTCCCACCAATCTTGGCTTCACAGCTCCCTCCATGCACAGCCCACTCTTCTTGCTTTCTTGTGACTTGGAGGGCTTTAGTGTGAAAACCATAAACAACCACCTAAACTTAAACCCACTCTGCACACTGTCTCAGCCCCAGGAATATATTCGGAACAGATTTCATTCTTCTCAAAGAGAGCTAGAAGTGGGCCTTCTGAGACCTCCCACTTTTCCCAACTTTTTTCTTACTCTAGCTGCAGAAATGTCCTCATAGGAAAACATATGGATAAGTGCACTCTGTGCCCTAAAGCGGAAGGGTGGGGTGCCACATCCACCCAGCCCCTCCCTACTTCCTCACACCTAGAGGATTGCTCCATTGGAAAAGAGTGATATAGTCAAAGCAACCACTTTGCAGGTGAATAAAATGAGGCCTAGATATGTGAGATCAGTAGCTCAGGGTCACACAGAAAGTTAAGTGGCAAAGTAGGAAACCAAACCAAGATCTCCTGGCTTAAAACACCTTAAGTATATAGACAGATTCCTTAATAAAAAGAAAAATATAATTCTTTATTTTTCTGAAACTCTCCAGTTAGATATGAGGAGATAAAAATCAAGCAGTTCTTGTTCTTTCAGCTAAAGTAATGCCCAGGACTTGGCCTCACATAAGAGTAAAGCAGGTAGCTGCTCAACTGGACTGTTTTCAAGAGAGGAGGCCAGACTTCTCTGCTCCCTAACACTTCTTCACAAGTGCATGGAGCCTTGGCACACCATTGCTAGAGTCAACCCTTTGTCTTAAGATGACCTCACTTTGTGACAGGGCCTCAGGCCAGAGACAGCAAAGACCTAGCATCCCCCTGACTTGGCTAACTGAGGACGATCCTCTTTCCTACTTAGTCCCCATGTGGCTTCAGAATCCTGCCCACCACAGAGCTAGTCCAGAAACATTCCTAACTGAATGGAGTTGGTAGCTTCCAATTTTCTTTACAATTCTAAGGCCGGGGTTCCAGGCATCTTCCTACACTTGTGGAGACGAGTGTTTACACATGTGTTTTGGTGTGTATGCAGGTGTTTCCCATGTGTTAAAAGTTGCTGAATAAACCCAAAACAAGGTCCTGAGAGGAGATGTTGGAGACCATGCTGTGAATTAGGTATGACCTTTAGGTCAGTGTTTTTGATCATGTCACTCCTGCTAAAAATACCCTCAGTAGCTCTCCGAGGCCCGGAACATAAGGTCCTAACTCCTTAGTGCAGGATGCAAAGCCCTCCATTGTTTGTCCTTATTTCAGGCCTCAGACTTTTGCTGTTCAAAAAAAGTCTCATGCTCCAGCCAAATTACTCTTCTTATTGCCATTCTTCTGCTTAAACATGGCATTGCTCTACTCAAAACCTTCCAACGGCCTCCCAGAGCACTTAGCAAAACCACATATGCTTTCCATGGAGGCCCCATGGGACTGGCCCTGCCCACCTGTCCAAGTGCATCTTCAACCACTTCCTCCTTTGTCTGTAATCCCTGCTATTTTGGTCTTCCCCTGCTTCTTGAACATGTGGAATTCTTTCCTGTCCCAAGACCTTGGTTCGTGTTATTCATTTGGCCTAAACTTCTCTTCATTTAGACGTTGGCATAGCTGGTGCCTTCTTGCTATGTGGGTCTGAGCTCTTCCCTGATCACTCAGTCTTCAGTAGTATCTCCGGCACTCTCTTTTCTACCATGCTGATTCATTTTTTCCACAGCACTTGTTGCTACCCGACATGGATATTTGTTCATCTTTCTATTTGCTTTCTCTTCTAGAACACAATCTCCACGAGGGTTTGAATATTACTTTCAACTCACCACTGTATCCTAGAATGAGTAAATTCCCACAGTATAAATGCCCAATAAGTATTTGTTAAATGACTGAAGAAGGCTCTTCCGTGTCTACAGTCAGAACAACCCTGTTCCTATCCTGCTATGATTGCCCTCCCTCCCTCTTTATCTACCATCAAAAAGCAGCATTGAACTTCCTCTCCCTTCTTTCTTTTTTTAAATTTAATTTTATTTACATTCAATTAACATATAGTGTATTATTCATTTCAGAGATAGAGTTCAGTGATTCATCAATTGTATATAACACCCAGTGTTCATTACATCATGTGCCCTCCTTAATGTCCATCACCTAGTCTTCTGCCCATTTCTTGACTGATTATTTGTTCTTTGGGTGTTGAGTTTGATAAGTTCTTTATAGACTTTGGATAATAGCCCTTTATATGATAAAACATTTGCAAATATCTTCTCCCATTCTGTAGGCTGTTTTTTGGTTTTGTGGACTGTTTCCTTTGCTGTGCAAAAGCTTTTTATCTTGATGAAGTCCCAATAGTTCATTTTTGCCTTTGTTTCCCTTGCCTTTGGAAACATGTCTAGCCAGAAATTGCTGTGGCCGAGATCAAAGAGGTTGCTGCACAGGGAGCCTGTTGCACAGGCAACAGTTCTCTTCTAGGATTTTGATGGATTCCTGTCTCACATTTAGGCCTTTCATCCATTTTGAGTTTATTTTTGTGTATGATTTAAGAAAATGGTCCAGTTTCATTCTTCTGCACGTGGCTGTTCAATTTTCCCAACACCATTTGTTGAAGAGACTGTCTTTTTTCCATTGGACATTCTTTCCTGCTTTGTCGAAGATTAGTTGACCTTGGAGTTGAGGGTCCATTTCTGGGTCCTCTATTCTGTTCCATTGATCTATGTGTCTGTTTTTGTGCCAGTACCGTACTGTCTTGATGATTACAGCTTTGTAATAGAGCTTGAAGTCTGGAATTGTGAAGCCACCAGCTTTAGTTTTCCTTTTGAACTTTCCTTTGGCCATTTGGGGTCTTTTCTAGTTCCATACAAATTTTAGGATTTGTTCCAGCTCTGTGAAAAATGTTGATAGTATTTTGATAGAGATTGCATCGAAGGTATAGATTGCTCTAGGAAGCACAGACATTTTAACAATATTTGTTCTTCTGATCCATGAGCATGGAACATTTTTCCATTTTTTTGTGACTTCCTCAATTTCTTTTATGAGTGTTCTATAGTTTTCAGAGTACAGATCCTTTACCTCTTTCGTTAGGTTTATTCCTAGGTATCTTATGGTTTTTGGTACAATTGTAAATGGGATCTATTCCTTAATTTCTCTTTCTTTTGTCTCATTGTTAGTGTATAGAAATGCAACTGATTTCTGTGCATTGATTTTATATCCTGCCACTTTGCTGAATTCCTGTAGGAGTTCTAGCAATTTTGGGGTGGAGTCTTTTGGGTTTTCCACATAGAGTATCATGTCATCTGCAAAGAGTGAAAATTTGACTTCTTCTTTGCCTGTTTGGATGCCTTTTATTTCTTTTTGTTGTCTGATTGCTGAGGCTAGGACTTCTAGTACTATGCTGAACAGCAGTGGTGATAGTGGACATCCCTGCTGTGTTCCCAACCTTAGGGGAAATGCTTTCAGTTTTTCTCCATTGAGAATGATATTCACTGTGGGCTTTTCATAGATGGCTTTTATAATATTGAGTATGTTCCCACTATCCCTACACTGTGAAGTGTTTTAATCAAGAAAGGATGCTGTACTCTGTCAAATGCTTTTTCTGCATCTGTTGAGAGGATCATATGGTCCTTGTCCTTTCTTTATGTAGTGTATCACACTGATTGATCTGCAGATGTTGAACCATCCTTGCAGCCTGGGAATAAATCCTACTTGGTTGTGGTGAATAATCCCTTTAATGTACTGTTGGATCCAATTGGCTAGTATCTTGGTGAGAATTTTTGCATCCATGTTCATCAGGGATATTTGTCCGTAATTCTCCTTTTTGATGGGATCTTTGTCTGGCTTTGGGATCAAGGTAATGCTGGCCTCATAGAAAGAATTGGGAAGTTTTCCTTCCATTTCTATTTTTTTTGAAACAGCTTCAGAGGAATAGATATTAAGTTTTCTTTAAATGTTTGGTAGAATTCCCCTGGGAAGCCATCTGGCCCTGGACTCTTGTTTTGGGGAGATTTTTGATTAAGGCTTCAATTTCCTTGCTCATTATGGGTCTGTTCAGGTTTTCTATTTCTTCCTGTTTCAATTTTGGTAGTTTATACGTCTCTAGGCATGCATCCATTTCTTCCAGGTTGCTTAATTTGTTGGCATATAGTTGCTCATAATATGTTCTTATAATTGTTTGCATTTCTTCAGTGTTGGTTGTGATCTCTCCTCTTTCATTCATGATTTTATTAATTTGGGTCCTTTCTCTTTTCTTCTTGATCTTGATAAGTCTGGCTAGGGTTTTATCAATCTTATTAATTCTTTCAAAGAACCAGCTCCTAGTTTTGTTGATCTGTTCTACTGTTCTTTTGGTTTCTAGTTCATTGATTTCTGCTCTAATCTTTATTATTTCTCTTCTCCTGCTGGGTTCAGGCTTTATTTGCTGTTCTTTCTCCAGCTCCTTTAGGTGTAAGGTTATGTTGTATATTGAGACTTTACTTGTTTCTTGAGAAAGTCTTGTATTGCTATGTACTTCCCTCTTAGGACCACCTTTGCTGCATCCCAAAGGTTTTACACAGTTGTGTTTTCATTTTCACTCTCTCTTCTTTCTGTCAATTCTAAAAGCACCTGCAGATCCAAACAACTGCTTCTTTACTTTTCATTTAATAAACCGGGAACCAGGAAACTAGCCTCTTATCTGCCACTAATAGTTGGTTGTCTACTTGATGTTTGTATCTCATGTTCCCCAATTAGGTAGCAAGCTCTTGGAAGTTAGAGTAGCTGGTTATATCCCCCACAGTGCTCAGCATGAATGACAACTTGTTTACTGAGGG